TGGTGTACCCCTTCAGCAATATCCTAACCCCTACCTCTTGGTGAGTCTTAGGCGGATGCTGCAGCCAGACTGGCTGACGACCTTGCTCCTTGTGTTTTATTACGACTCCAGCCCGTGGGCCAAACTCTTCTCCATCCCTTCTTTTCCCCACTACTCCATGTGAGCTGCATCCCTAGCGGCAGGGGTGACTTACCTAGCTACCTAGCTTGCCTTGAGTCCAGACGACCCGAGGAGGTCCACTTCTTCTAGAGACGCCGCTCTCGTGGGTCTGCAACGCAATCATAACGACGGGAGGCCCCATCACCATCACTTTTCCTCCTTGCTCGCCCTGTCGGTACGACTGTACAACGCCAAACTTAGCGTATGCCTACCAAATCGGCGTGAACCGCACTGATCCTACTTTGTGTCAGTCGACACGCCCCTCACACAAGAAAACCCTTGACTCCATGCGGCAGACGTCGTCTCAATCCCCAGACCAGCAGCCTGATTCTCGCTCCGGCACTACTTCCCGCCCGCCTTTCTCACTGCTTGCTGGCTCCGCCCGTTGACACACCCCCTGCCGGCCCGTATGACGCAGCCCACCATCCCAGCTGCCATGCTAGAAATTGGGGATCCCAGCACAGGAACGTGAAGTGAGGGTCAAATGTGATGAGGAACCTGGCCAAGTACCCCATGGGCCAGATTCTGATTTGACGGCTGTTCTAAATTCTACGGTTTACAGCCATCATGTCGCTACTAAATCGCCCATGCTTCTTTGTTGCTTGGTCCCTCCTGTTCCACACCATAGATCCTAGAGAGTTGATCTTGTTCAAAGCTGCTAGGCTCGATTTATCTTTCAAGCCATCGATTGCCCCATGTTTCGTTAACCCCCTCGAACCCCTTCGGAGCCGGTACCACCATTTCACGATACATATTCAAGCTGAGCCCTTCTCAGTTCTCTTGGGATCTACCATCATTACTTGCACCTCAATAATTAATTTGTATTGAGCACGTTAACTCCTTTAATACTAGCTGTCGTTTTGGCAACTTGTCTCGATATATCTCAACTTTCCACATCATATTACTTACTCGACACACTTCAAGATGATGCACCCACTCTTCGGTGTGCAGCCAGCAGGCTCCTTGCCCATCGCATATCCTTACGACACAATGCTGGACGACCACACACAACAAATGGCATGTTCGCAAGCTTCAAGAAGGTTCTCACGAGGGTCCAGTGGGCAACGATCTGGAGGTGCCATGAGAGTGACCAAGCCTTCAAGCGCCAACAACAGCCCTCGCTCGTCTGGTTTCACGGCTCGCCGCAAGACTCTCATGAATGACGGCAACTCGCAACGTCGACAACAGCAGATCATGGAACAGCTATCAACATTTTGTGACGTTGAGTCCCAGCGACCCGCTCCACGATCCTCGCGTCCCGTGAGTTGGCATCCGGGCTCATATGGCCAACAACCCTATGTTCAGGCTCAACAGCCCGCTTATGCCTTGACCACAAGCCACTTGCCTCCCGACCACCAAGACTTGCACGGCAACTATGCTCATTATTCCCCAATGATGGATTCAACTTCATGCGGTACATCCCCGCTGGCCTTCTCCCATCTACCTCTCCCATATCAATCTACCGACAACATGACCTACAATCCCTACCACGGAACGAACATGTCGCATCACTCCCCCGCTGCGTCTATGGTCTTGCCGGGTCGTCAACTGCCTGTCATTGCTGCGCCCACCGAGACTACTGATAGCAATGGATGGGACTGGAATACCTTTATCATGCACGGCATTGGCTCCACAACACCCCCCACCCCTGAGACCCTCCCACAAACCCAACTGTCTCAACCTGCAGTATCAGAGGATCCTCACTATCAGGCCCTCGAAGATGCCGCGGAAGAAGACGGCGAGATCCTGGTTGGAATGGGGCTTTACGACACTCCGGAGAAGTACAACGAGGATCCTCAGCTCAACAACTATCGATCCACTGTGTCATCTTTACTTGGGTCATCATTCAGGACCCATGAGCCTCAAGGCAAGGGCCTAAAGCTTGAAGAGACATGGGAACCTCCCAAATCTGACGAGGAGGATGAAGATGAAGACGACGAGGAGGAGGAGAATGATGACGAGTAGTGATTCCGCTGCATCTTGAAATTTGTAACGGCATACATGAATAACGACAGGAATTTTTGTATCACTATGGTGTACACTGGTAGGCGGGAAAAGCCGGCTTTTGCTTCTTCGGGACATGGAAAAATAATATGTGATAAGGTCGGTACACCTGGATCTCGGGATAAGGAACATGGATGCAAGCGTTTGAATTTACTACATATAGAGTCTGGCTGGCTATGGATACCCCGTGCAAAGAGCACAGAACTAGGAGATACAAGTAAGGCTCAGGCAGCCGCCCAATAGTTATCCAACGAAGAAATATACAATCAATATTGAGAGAGAGAAGAAAGGGACTTGGCAATGTGTCACGTATTATTCCTAACAATGATAATTTGGCCATGGCCTATCAAGCGACAGTAATAAAAACCATAGCTTTGGCAAAAAGCTGCGGTATGAGGTGGACCCAAAAAGAGCCGCGTCTTCCCAACGTTGATTAGCTGTGCTAAACCCTGCACAGCATGTGGCATATCGAAGGACCGTGCTTCCGCACTTGACTCAGCATATTCAATTGGCCCAGTTCCAGATTCAACGCCCCCCTCCCCACTCTGAGCCAGCCCTGCGTGGCATGTGCACGACCCCCTCTTTACGATTTCTTTTTTTGAGGCATTACGTATTTGCTCAGGGACGGTTGTGGCTGAAAAATACATAGTGGCTAGCTCCACCCCGTGAATAATCGGCCTCAGGCATTAAATTAGGATGCCAGAATAAACTGGTCTAAAGCTATACTAAATTTCTACTAAATTTACCCAAGTCTTTTCATCACTTTGGAGAATGGTCTGAAGTTTTCTTTCCTCGAACTCAACCTAATTCAGTAATGGAAATCTTAACCTTGGTAACTCTTAGCACTCTGTGCGGCTCGGAAGCTCCGTAGACAGAACTAGGAGTCATACGGACTAAACCAGCAGCGGAGAGCAATATGTAAATTTGTTCATGCATTCTGGGGAGACATGACTAGCATGCTCTAAATAAGACTCGATCAGGAGCTCTGCTCTACCTCATGGCCTGGGAAATTGCTCAACCTGCCTGAGACGCAGGGAGGAGGTCCCTTTCCGAGGTGGATGGTCGTGATAGCCGCTAGATTTGTACCGTGCTGATTCGCAAGGCGCTACTATATGCTCTCGCCAAACTTCCGTTCTCGACCTCAACTATCCGAAATCATAACTGTGGCATATAAGCATCTATGATCTACAGTACCTTGTAGATATCCTTTGTAAGACACCATCAGTTGAATGCCTACTACAGGGAACGTGTTTTTGAGTTCAGGTGCTCTGAGTTTTCTCACTTTACCTACTTGGATACCTTACCCTATACCAGCCTCTTTGAGTAATGTGCTTTGTATTTATTGACATTTATACATTTATCTACAACGCTGTGCGCTCAACTAGGTATGTTTGTGTGTAGAGAGAGGGGGGGGGGTTTAAAAGAAATCAACGGGAAATTACAATTACAATATTGAAAGCCCTTGAGACATCATAGGTTGCAGAATAAACTCACAGAGCATAAAAACGTGATACTGACGGCAAGTCCTGTTCAAGGGAAAGATGTCCGTCATTCGTTACAGAAAAAATATTATCCTGACAAAAATCCTACCACCAATGCACGCAAACACCCAAAAAAAGTAGAGCAAGAGGGTATACGCGCCACTGGTTTTCCCGAACAAGCGAGTAGATGCTGCTAAGTATCAAATACCTCGGAGAAAACATCTATTGTTCTATAGACAGAAAATGGTACAATACGTCTTTACACCATGGCGCGACCGTTACGAACTCTTGCTCGTTCGCGAGCAGATGTACACAGGCATCGACACCAACGCCATAGAGGCAAAGGAGCATTCAAGCCATTCTGAAGGCAGTGTCAACATACAAAACCAACAGATTTTGGACGATCAGGAAACACAAAAGAGGCAGCACAAAGCGGTTGCGCGTGTGTCGATGTGGATGCAGCGAGGAAACTGTCCTCACATGGTCGAATCAACAGCACTGTTGATGGCGGCGACGTTGGGTGATAAAGAGGCAGCCGCCGGGGAAAATGCAGCCTCATCGGCGTATGCAATCAGAGCAGCATATTCCGCCGCCTTTAGCAGGTAAGTTCTGCCAGTCGAGACCCATCACTGTGCGACAGAGCTGATGAAACACAAGGTTCGTGACTGGTCTTCTTGATGGCCATCAGGACAAACAGCGCAAACAGAGCATGTACTCTATTGCAAAGACCATTGGATTGCCCGCTACATTTGTTGAGCTTCGCCATCAGTCTACGCACGAACAGTTGCCCTCATTGGCAAAGCTGCGTACAGCAGCTAAGAAGGCCTTATTGTGGATTTGGGAGTATTACTGGAAGCAGCTGGGCGAGGACAATAGCGACGCGTGTCGCATGGCAGTACTACGGTATCTAAGGGAGGGAGATGAATCGAAGCTGGTAGCCCTGTTCCAGGAGTTCGAGCGGTGGCCTCCAGAGCGCGTCCTCAAGACAGTTCAAGAGGTCAAGGGCAGTTTGCCGGGCAATCAAGCATTTTTGAAGTGCGTAGAATTGATGCAGAGGCTACGAGAGTCTGAGGAAGATAAGAAGTCGTCAAGATCCGGTACCGCCGATACGACGATGAAAGATACAGAGCCTGACACTGGAGAAGCTGATGAGGAAGATGACTTTGGATGGTCACAATTCAAAGGGGCATGGAAGCCTAAACCCATTGGGATTGTTTAGCACGAGTATCCAATATTTCTACCAGATACCCCTCATTGACTACCTAGACGTATAAAGCATTCTGCAGAGGCAAACATGGGTGATGTTGGAATTGGACCTGGACATATCACGTGCAGTCGCCCGCATCGGCAAACGTCATGATAGGTACTGTAGCCATGATGCCTCGCTTGGATGACAAAGCCTCACGTCCCATTCGATCTTGTTCTGTTACAGCGCATCCGTCTCAGCCGGCCTTGACATTTACACAGACCTACTTATGTATAGACTCGCTACCAGTCGGCCATTCCTCAGACAGAAAATTGGATTTCTATCTAGTGCCGTGAGTCAATTGTTCAACTCCAAAAAGTGTGCTTAGCTGAGATGATCGATGTAGCTCGTTGCTACCCGCGCCATGCATATTCAGTCAATTCCCATGTGTATGTCAAGTGTCTGAAGAATTCGAGGACCCGGAAACTGATTTCAATAGGGGAGGGAAGCTCCAACAACTACGCTTACCTGGTAGTTGACGACAAGTCCAAGGATGCCGTCATCGTTGATCCCGCAAACCCTCCCGAGTACATAGTAGCCACCTCGAGAACATTTGAGAAGCTGCTGATGTATATTTCAGGGTTGCGCCTATCCTGAAGGATGCTATCCAGGCGGGAAAGATCAACTTGACAGCCATTGTAAACACCCATCAGTGAGTAATTTACCATCGATTTCTCCCGACCTAGACTGATCTCCTTGCTGCCATTGGGATCATGCAGGAGGCAACAAGAAGCTGGTAAGATACCCTGTAATGATGTCCCATGAATGCTTATTGACATCCATAAGCTTGCTGAGCTGGGCAATCCCAAGCTAGACATTATCGGTGGCAAAGACTGCGAGGGTGTTACAAAGACACCTGGTCACGGTGAGACCTTCAAGCTAGGCGACATCACCTTCAAGGGCGTGCATACACCTTGCCACACCCAAGACAGCATCTGCTTCTTCGTGGAAGACGGAAAGGACAAAGCTGTTTTCACGGGTGATACCCTTTTCATTGGCGGTAAGTTTGAGCAAACCTCGAATAGTACAAGGATGTTTTGGGCCTGTGCTGATAATGAACAGGATGTGGAAGATTTTTCGAGGGCAATGCGGAGGAGATGCACGAGGCTCTGAACAGGCGGCTTGCGGCGTTGCCTGATGACACCGTAGTTTATGTAAGTTCCGAGCCAACACAAAAGTCCATCGATGCTCATGCTATGACAGCCGGGACATGAGTATACCAAGGCCAATGTCAAGTTTGCCGCATCTGTTTCTCAGCGTGATGCTGTACAGAAGCTGCATTCCTTCGCCGAGAACAACAAGGTCACCACCGGCAAGTTTACCATCGGAGACGAAAAGGTAGCTCGATATCATGAGTTGTCTTGATACGAAACGGCTGACTTTGCATAGGAACACAACGTGTTTATGAGGGTCGAGGTTCGTCAAAGTCCTTGAAAATGTTAGGTTACCGAGCTAACAATCACAGGATCCTGAGATTCAGAAGCAGACAGGTGAGACTGAGCCTGTGGCAGTTATGGCCAAGTTACGCGAAATGAAGAACAACTTCAAGTGAGTAAGTAGTGACACTTCCTCGTTGTCCTTAACCCTCTCACGGCTGACCAGTCTAAAGAGAGCCAGAGTCCAAGATATAGATGGCAGGTAACAGATTGACAAGGGCCCAGTAGGAACCAGATGCATGGGTGAAGTAAAGATGAGTTGCATGGGGCGAGCGAGTATTCTGAGTGAATAATTGACTGCGTTGAAAATTCAAGTACTACAAATGTATGTCTCCATGGATCGCTAGGTGCCTGTCTTCAAAGACATGGCATCGCTTGCTACCCGCTGGAACCACGCCGGTTTGAAGTTGTCCGACGAGGCTTGTTTTAATTTTGCTTCACTGTCCACACTTGCTCGCTGTAGTGATTTCAAAGCGGCAAGCTCTAGCATTTTTAGAAGCGAATATTGAGGGAACGTCACGTTATCGAGAAGAGCTGTCGGTGTCGAAATCCGAGTATATGGTAGCGGCGTAGCAGGCATAAGTAAACAAACCATAGTGTCCTTCGCGGTGATTATTCTTCAAAAGAGCGCGAGTGCAATTGTGAAACCAGTCCATAGAGACTATGGAAATGTTGAGATAGGTTGTTAAAGGGAAACGGTTTGGGTCCCTAAAGAAAAATTTATTAAAACTCATTTGAGAGAAGGGCCCGTACAGTCTGAATAGAATCCAAAGACGGTGCTGGTACACTGTCCTTCACGGGCGCCGAATCCACTATCGTCACCACAATGGAAGCATTCATAGTGACATCAATCATCGCGACTGCGTATAAGTGCTTTCTGTCCCTTCTTCGCAAGCGCAAATGGTAATGCACGCTCTGAACTTACATCAGTAAAAACATGGTCTAACAGAATTCCTTAGCCTCCGAAGCGCAAGGCTCCCGCGACCAGCGCAACCGCCGCTCCCAAGACGCGACAATCCAAACTTGCAAAGGAGCACAATGTGACTGCGCAAGAAGAGGGCGAGATCCGCGAGGCGTTCAGTCTCTTTGCGGAGCCAATGGACGGCGAGAAGCATGGAGTCTTGCCTATTGACGACGTCAAGTCTGCGCTCATGTAAGTATCTATGTGAGGACGCTTTTGAGTCCTTGGCTGACACATGCTTGCTTAATTAGAGCCCTCGGTGTTCCGCCCTCTTCTCACGCAGAGCTCAAAGAATTCGTATCAATCCTGGACCCAGAAAACGACGGTTACGCGACATTTGAACCTTTCTTCGCAATCTGTGCCCTCAAATTCCATACAAGGGAGCACGACTCGGACGCTCATCGTGCAGAAGTCGAGGAAGCTTTTCGACTATTCACAAACGGTCAGGATGGACCCATTACTCTTGCACACCTCCGACGTGTTGCTGCTGTGCTCAAAGAGGATGTCGATGAGGAACTACTCAAGGATATGATTCTCGAGGCGAACGGCGGCGTAGGTGTTGCTAGGGGAGTGGGTGTTGAGGAGTTTGATGGAGTCATGAAGAGTGCTGGTATCTGGAGGTGACTCTCCAGCTTCCAGGAGGAGCCACCATGTTACGACTTACGAACAAACGAAACTTGCCTTGTACGACTTGGGGGAGTTAATACCATGAGATGAAGCGGAATCGATCCAAGAGTTACAATGTGGCACCGAGAGAGAGGTAAGAAACCCAAGATGAGGGACCAGACGCTGACTGCTAATCATGCATTGCCTGCTGCAGACCAACGTACATGATAATTATTATAGTATAGCGCGCGTTACTGAGTCGAGGCTTGTTTGGAGGGACATAGATGAGTTCGTCAACGGGAGGCATCAGTTATTCAGTGTCTATCTATATCAGGAGTCGAGGAGCAGCTCTACGCACTCACTGTTTCCAAATCTAATTACACAATCTTAAAAGCGCTAGGTTCTTCAGGATCAAGGGTCCTGGCCAATGTATATGTATAATCACACCTAATTCTGAAACGCCTTATCAGATGCATGCATGCCTCATAGGACAGCGACGGAACGGGATACGTGAGCTAACAAGCACACACTATGTCAACCCAACTACCTGAAATGAACCTGAACTATATAGCAGCGCAAAACCAAACGTCGTAACTTTCGTAAAAATCATTGCGGAGACTCGACCGTCACCGCTGGCTTAGCGTCACCACCCTTGGCCGCAGCGGCGGCGAGCTTCTCCTCTTCCTGTCGGCGGGAATCGAGCACCACCTTGAGCTCCGGGGGAGGGTTGAAGCCAGCGTGGTCTGAGTGGCGTTTGTAGTAGTATGCGTCAGGCTTGGGGTGCATCTCGGGAGGGAGCTCTTCCATGATGCACTTGACGATGTTGTCGATCGAGTTCTTCTTGGAGGCGTCGCGGTGCCATACGGTGATGAGGTGGGAGTTGAAGCGGACGGAGAGACCAACACCGCAAAGCTGGTCGTCTACAGCAGAAGTTAGCACAAGCCATGTCCATTGTGGTGAGAGTTCGTACCGTCGTCGAGAACACTTTGGAGTTTCTCGCCAATGGCAAGGAGCTGAACACGAGTCCACACATCAGGACCTATGCTCTTAGGGAAGCGGAATGTCCAACTTCCACCCAGAATATTGCGTCGATCCTCCCAGACAGGGCGGAAGCCTGACTTGAAGAGGTACAAGGACTCTCGAACACCAATATTTCCGACAGGAGTATTGTTGGCATATCGCCAAAAGTCCTGCACCGACTCGATCTGGGTACCCAGCTGCTCCAGCCCAGAGTGATACTGATCACCGCTTTCCCCTTCCTTGGCCTGCCGGTCGAAGTAGACGTTCCAATAATGCTGAGTGGGCAGTGCTCGCATCGTCTTTAGGAAGTTTCGCTTGGCATCGTCGCGCTGTTCGGCGGGAGAGCTGGGGTCGTTCTCCTGAGATTGCGAGTCTGCGATGCCGCGCGTGAAGAGAGGGAGACGGGAAGACATGTTGGTGAGATGCGGGATGAAGAAGGTGTGAAAACGAATGTAAGAATGGTGAGTACCTATGGAGGTGAGGAAAGCCAGAGGTCGGAGATGAGCACGGAGACTGGAGTTGAAACTACAGTACAGAGGCAACCCTGTCACGTAGGTAGCTTAGCTGGTGAGGGGCACACGTCGGACAGAAAGAGGAATAGACAACTTAGTACAGGGAAACTATTAACAGCCCCTATTTCGTTGTTTAGTCCTTAATCACAAGCGAATAATGGCAGGCATATGAGGAGAAGGCCAGCATGTAGTACCTAGGCAAAATAAGGAGACGTGGATACGTACTGTCTAACGTTCAGGTCAAGTATTTTGTTGTGACTGTAGATGCCCAAATGCCGAGCTATGGTGGGGGTATAGGCCTAGATACGGATTCAATACCTTGTATGGAGTTTTCGAAGCTACAGTACCACCTAAACTACACCACTGGTAGGTATTAAGGTAGTAGAGTAGGTCTAGTAGGTAGGTTGGTGTGCCTCAAGATGTCTCAACACTTCTATAAGATTCTGAATGTGGTAAAGACAAATAACGGAGAAAGTATACTAGTGACCCTTAGATATATCAAGCATGCACATTTGTATTCTTATTATTCAAGACAATTATCGAGTCTTTTGCCATAAGAGCATAGCCGAGATACTTCCATTGACATGGCATGATACGACATGACTGCGGGGTCCTTGAGGCGGCGAATGAGCTATCACAGGCTTTGCAAACCCCATTGATTGGTGACGAAACACCATCAGTTGCTCACTTATTTACCTCTATCACTGCGTCCAAGGCATGTCCTATTTTCTCAGCTGACATTTTGACGAATCATGGTGACAGTTTCAGATATCCCTGATCGGACTGAAACTGAAGTTTACGAACCGACTCAGCCAATCAGGTCAAACACATTGCTTAGTGAAACAACTACTAGGTACCTAGTTTACAACGATCACATTGACAACGTTAACCGACGGATCGGAAGAGTGCTCTTTCAACCTCTCAATTCGGAAGACTCGTAGGAGATAGAATTACTTAGATGTGTATTAACTAGGTAGTAAACAAGAAACCCTCTGCTAGGTAATCAGCGTACTTATGTAGTTGCCCAACGTTGATGCCTTTATCGTTTCTCAATGCATATGCGCATATAAAGCTTTACGGCCCATTTTATCCTACCATTGACCCTGGTGGCCTCGTGTGTGATAGAATTCTTCATATTTAACTCATTTGTAAAGTAACGTAGCCTATTGTCCAGCAAACTCAAAGAGACATCCAGTGAATCTAATCCGACCCGGTCATTCAAACAACGCTTCCAAAACACCATGCTCCATTCATGCTAGCAAATCTTCCTTCAATGACTTCTGCGTCTTTGGTCATCCGTTTCAGAGGTTTTCCTTTGCGCCCAGTGGCATTCTCGCGCTGTTCTCATTCTTAAACCTCGTCAAGTCCCCTTGCATCAACTTCCTCAAGTTACCCATATCCTGGAGGTACTGCTGCATTTCTTCTTGCAACTCATCCTCGCCGTACGCTGTGCTCTCCGAATCGTACTGATCGTCATCGTACTCACTATATTCGGAGGCATTCTCTTTGTCCTGCTCGTCGACTTCTCGTTCTGGCTTTACGACAACAGGAGGAATAGGGTTCTTGAGGCTTTCGATAGCGAGCTTCAGATGCAATTTCAAGGCCTCATTCTCCGTCTGAAGCTTCTTGATCTTGCTCTCAGCTACCATGCTGCGCTCCTCCATCATGCGCTGCATAGAGTTGACATGAGTCTGGTACTCCTCCAGTTTGTCCTCAGCTTCCTTGGCGTTCTTCTCACGCTGTCTCGAGTCTGATACGGAAAGCTGCAGAATACGGATTTCCTCCGCCATGGCAGCAATCTGTGCGTCTCGCTCGGCTGTTGATATGTGGTCCTGGTTGACAACAGCTCTAGTCCGGATCCGTTTGGCTTGGTCGGCATATCGCAGCGTGGAAAGGGTTTCATCGTAGTCTGAGGGTGCGATGCAGGCAATCATGGCCGTCTTGCTGTTTCCGCCTAGTGAGTCTTTGAGAAGCCAGGTGAGGATCGAGTCTCGATATGGGACAACCTCTTTTCGCTTTCCACCCCTTCCGGCCTTGGGGTCCGCTAGAGCAGCAATGACACGTCCCAGCGTGGTCAGTGATTTGTTGATGTTGCTACCTTCACGTAATCGCGCACCGGTAGCCTCGGTGGCCTTGGCCCTCTCGCTACCAGCCAGATCCACCAGTCGAATGCGAGAGCTTCGCTCTGTCGTCTCGTCGGTTTCCATATCGTGGTGGATTTGTTTCAGCATGATTGTGAAAACAGCGTGACTTCGACTACTTGTATCGTTCATCTTTGTGCTCGCTACTGTACGAGATGTATCGCCCAATTTCATGTACCGCAGAATCTCATTGATGTTTCGCACGGGCACCTCGGTAAGATCCTTGACGTATGGACCTTCGGTGGGAGATTCGCGAATCTTGAGATAATTGGGCGCCTTGTGCGTTTGAGGAGGAACGAGGAGGTCACGGACGTGCTCATTGTAGACTTCAAAGTACGAGACGCGAACATTATAGGCGACGTTTGAGTTCTCGCAGTGTGCGGCGTCGATACGCTCAAAGAGATCCTCGCAAGTCCGAGGAATCAGGCCAGGCTGGTCTGGAGTGCCCATCATGGTGTAACTCTTTCCAGATCCAGTCTGTCCGTAGGCAAAGATACACGTGTGGTAGCCTTCGAAGTTGTGATCGAGGAAGTCCTCGCCAAGGCTGTTGTAAACGTCTTCCTGAGTGGCGTAGTGCTTGTCGTCAGTGTCATGACTCCAGAAGGAGTTATCGAAAGTAAACTTCTTCTCCTCGATGACCTTCTTGGCCTTAAGCTTTGCAGCCTCTGGGTCAGGATCATCGGGTGCGGATAGTGTTGTGAGTTGAGTGATGGGGTCCATTTGGATCAGACATTTTGCCTGGCGTTCAAGTTCTGTAGACTAGTCAGATACATAGGCTCTATGGAAAGAAGACAAAAAGAAGACACGGGTGCTTATGTGTATTCACCTCTCTTGAGAAATGCTCTCACTCGGACTACGACCTTGACATTCCCTCCCCCTTCCATTCTGGCGGGCATGGATAAAGCCGCATCTCGAGATCTCAGCGATGGCGTTGAAGCCGAAGAGTGAACCCTGCCCTCATAAAACGACGCCGAGGGCGATGAGGGAGAAGGCATCAATCTCGAGTCCAGAGCCATCGTCATAAGAATGCTGTTGGCGTTGTCGATGCTGTCGTGAAGTCGATGTCGAAGAATAACCCACATCTCACCGTCTTCCCTTGTAGGTACCTTATTTTTTGTTTACCAGCGTCATTCACGTTGCTAGGGGCAGTTGCAGGGGGCCCTTGTCTGCGTAGTACAGGTTTTGACTGGTTTAACAGAAGGGAGCTTGGGCCAAGCGGCACCTCAAGACTCGGCAGCTCTAGTCTGAATCAAGTCTAGATCTCGTCAATCTCTGAGAGAAATACCGCCTCTTTGTATCTGCTGTTCTCTGCTCGAGTTATTCTGTCGTGCCCGATAGCCCAATTCTTTGTCGCGGGGACCAAGTGACGCGAATTAAACTCCAGCCACCCTTGATCAATTTTACTGCTAATTAGGGCGCTGCACCTTAGCTGAGCTTAGGTAGCTTGCCTGCCTCAGTACCTGTCCCTTTGGTAGGTACTAACCTTAGGTTTAGTAGGTACAGATACCTTTGCAGACGAAACGCGACATCCAACATTCGTCTTCCCTCTCTTCTTCTGCATCCCACAACAATCTTTTGTCGCGTTTTCAACTGCAACAATCAAACAGAAGAAACTAGTATCGTTCTTCACTGCGCGATTTTTCGAGAAATTTTATCACGTTTTCCACCAACTCAATCTCTATCGCTATTTTCTCTCTGTCGCATCATGGCGCGTACCAAGGAAGATGTCGCGTCCAAGGGCGATGCCTCGCCTCGCATCCCCAAATCCTCCTCCGGAGTGACCAAGAATACCGCTGAAGCTCCCGTCAAGCGCGGCCGTGGACGACCTCCCAAGGGCGCTGCGCCCATGCCCAAGAAGGTCTATGTTCCAACAGGACGCCCCCGCGGCCGACCCCCAGGTTCTGGCAAGAAGACCGCCGCTGGACCCAAGAAGGTCGCTGCAGTGAATGACGATGGTACGCCAAAACAGGGACGTGGTCGACCTCCTCGCGCTGCTCGCGGCACAGAGTCTGCTGCCACAACACCCAAGGATGGCAAGAAGCGCGGCAGAAAGCCAAAGGCTGCCGATGTATCAGAGGATGAAGAGACCAATCACGATGAGCCTGGTGAGGAATATCTTCAAAGCCCTAAATGATTATGTGCTAACATCTCTCAGCCGACGAGGATGATGCTGCCAATGAGTCGCCCGCTAAGGACGAGGATGGCGAAGATTCCGAGTAGGATTTCGATTATGGCCAGTATAGAAATCCCAACATGAATAATCAGCGGCGGCAGAATTTTCCTAGCTTCACTATAGGGTCTGGGTTTGGTTGATTTGCTTTAGGGTGCTCGGGAACACAAGGGTTGAGGGTCAGGAAGAATTCATGGAACTGTTATACTGGGATTGTGCTCTTCAGGAGTTGTACAAATATCATGCTAATTTACAGACGGGTAAAGCAGGCCCTTTTATCCCACCCATCTCATTCCTCCTACCCGTACCTAAAGCTTCTTCCATGTCTCATACTCCTCTTCAAGATGGCGTTTCAGCTTTTGGAACTGGTTTCCAAAGTTGAGCCCACATCTCCAGCACTTCATATCCCAGCGCAAATAAGCCTCCTCCTTCGTATTCCTGCGCGGATCATCAGCTGCAAGCGGAAAGTCGTCCAGATCAACCAGAAACGGCGTATTGAATGAATTGTAGTGTTTGCGATGCCTCAATGCTTCAGAGAACATTTCTCTAGAGAAAACATGCACGTGAAGGTGTCTCATGCTTGGTACCGCATGCACGCCGGCCTTGACTTCTGCAGCCCAGTCCCGACCCTTCGGAAGTTCCCCACCCTGGTCCGGCTCGGCATCTCCATCGAGCACGGCTTGTCGATGAGCATCACTCTCACTGTGCGTGCCAAGACGACGTTGGAGTTCCTTTGCGATCAGAGCCTTGAGGCGCTGAGTCTCCGTCTTCACCTTGGCAAGGACCTCTGGGTCATCTAGGGCATCAAATGGATGGAGAAGATTGTACTTTGACGACCGAGGGAGAAGAAGAGTGTGTATTGTGGCCTTTGGATAACGGTCGTTTATGGCGACAAAGTCCTCGTTGTGGTAGATGACGCGTGAAGACGGGTATGAGGCTGGATCCTCGAGATATGCACCCAAGCCCAGGCGGTCTTTGAAAGGGTTCCCACTACGCGATGGCCGAGCTGTATTTGCCTCGGGTGGTGTTTTCCTCTTTGGAGCCATGAGTTCTGCGACTGTCATATGTAAGAATGTTTCGAGTGGTTTGAGTGTGTGACTTGCATGCATTGCGGGCCGATTTCTTTGTAGGCTCTTCACCACGGATCTCTTCCTTGGTAATGGCCTCCTCTGGCTCTGAATCTCGATGTGACATGTTTTTGGGCGGGAATATCGGTAACCCTTGTTGGATGCCAGCTGTTGGTGTTGGCGTTGATGTTAGTGTTTTATACTGTGCTGGGAGCGTGCAGCACTCATGATAGAGAGTGCCCCGCGGTGGAGTCGCCTTTTCATACACGGGTCTCATGAGGTATCTATCTTGAGTTGTGTGTTGCGAAAGAGTACCTCAGAATTCAGCATTTGATTGTAAATAACCACCCAAGTTTCTAAATATTGAGTAATGCTCAAGATCTTCATATAGAATTTTGTCGTCAAGCCAGGAATTCGCATCTAATGTACCTCTATCTGCGTTTGTGATGGCCTTCGACGTTTTACTCAAGCATCCATACCGTCGAGCTCGATCATCTTCCTAACCAACATGATGACCTCGTCGTCTTTAACATTCATATCTGGGCTCTCAACCTTCTTTGCAATCAACTCATCAACCATTCCTCTAAGTCTAGCCAGCAAAACACCAATACGCGCCCATCCTCGAAGTCTGAGCCAACCGTCAATAAGTAGACCTCGACCAAGAGTGTCGAGTTCGATAGGTCCCGAGAACAGTAGGAGTGTGTATGCATTGAAGGCTGTTTTACATGTTAGCAAAACCGAACAATACTTGCAACATGAAAGGGGATATACGTACGTGTCAGGTCCCGAATGAAGATCTTGCTGGTTGAGATCAGACTGAAATAAGCCATATACGCAGCATTTCCCGAGAACCCCTGGCTTCCAAATAACGTACTGCTTGGGTGAACAAACACGCGTCCATTTTCTTGGTTAAAGTACTTGATCGACCTTGCTTCGGGGTCTAACTCCACGGCACCAGACATTGAACTTGCAAACTTCTTGTCGGGGTACTGAATGCGAGCGATCTGCGGTGTGAAAGCTGCAGCAACCAGCGCTCTCAGGAGCTGGGATCCATCAGAGCTAGCTCCATGTGCGTGAGCCTCGATTGTCGCTTCTGATGGTGCCACGATACCAATCTCTCCCAAGGCCGTGTAATACTGTGCGCGCGTATTGGAGATGTCCGACAAGGTCTGGAAATTGAGAAAGTTCTCTTCACACCATGATCGTATCTGACGATGGGGTATATGGTCCTGCATCATGAAATCCCACTCCTGGAAGGCCTGAAGATCAGTTAAGAGATCCCCATCACCTCTGTAGAACTTCATACGAGCCTCCTTCGCTTCGTCTCTCTTCTCTTGCGGAGAAACAAAGGGACTTCTTGTGCTCAGAATTGCTGCAATGGTTACGCAATCATCTAGACAGCCAAAGATGGCACCAAACACCATCAGCTTGCCGCACCGAAGGTCAGCCGGGAGCATGGCAAGCTGCTGACCCATGGCTGTGAGCTCATCACCATCGAGTGCTCCCATGCGCCGCAGGAGCTTCATAGCTCCATCAATAGCGGTCGCATCAGGAGGTGTTGGAGACCTGCCAAGGAACCCAGCAACATCCTTCATTCCCATAGCACGGACTGAGAGACACAGCTGCTCCAGTGGAACACGGCGAATCTCTGGCTCAGGTCGTTCGGGCATTTGCTGTTCGAGATTTTGCGTAAAGAGTTTGTAGCATCTGCCCTCTTGAACTCGGCCAGCTCGACCACGTCGTTGCTTACAGGCGGCGCGTGATGCCCACGTTTCCTCGAGCTTGCGCATGTTGTTTTGCACATCGAAGCTGGTCTCCTTGACCTTTCCGCTGTCAATTACCACAACAATGTCGTCTATTGTGATGGAGGTCTCTGCAACATTGGTTGCGACGACGACTTTTCGCTTTCCTGGAGGAGCACCAGAGAATACTCTTTTCTGCTCTCGTGTCTCGAGCGAAGCATGAAGTGGCAAAACGTGAAGCGAATTAATAGCTTTGAGTGCGCGACAAGCTTGGTTGATCTCACCAACTCCAGGGAGGAAAATCAGAATACCACCAGGTTTCTTTTCGTAAGATAGCTCGAAATCAACAGCCTTGACCGTCTCAACCAGTAGGTTGTAATTGATGCGATGACCCAACTTTTGGATGACTTTACCCAGAGCCTCTCCGCTGATGAACTCTGTATCAGAGCTTTCGACTCCATATGCGGTCATACGGATCACATCGTCCAGATAGTATTCGTCTACAGGGAATGTTCGGCCTGCAATTTCGACTGTGCCCACGCTGAGTCCCTCCGAGGCAAAATATCTCTTGAAAGTTGCCGCATCAAGTGTCGCAGACATCAGAATTAGCTTGAGCATATCCTTCTTGGCCTTCATGACATCGCGGATAAGGTTGAGTAGGAAGTCAGTATCGAGACTGCGCTCGTGTACTTCATCGATCACAACGTGACTGACATCCGCCAGAGACGCCACGACATCTTCTACTCGCCCCCCTGAGGTTTGCAATCGCCTGAGTAGAACACCCGTCGTCACAAATGTTATCTTTGTATCTTTCGATCTCCGAGATTCACCTCGAATAGCATATCCCACCTCGTCACCCACGCGTGTACATCTTTCTTCCGCTACACGATCCGCAAGGCCAAGTGCTGAGATTCGTCGCGGCTGGGTAACAATCATGTTTGCACAACCACCAAGACCTTGCGCGTACAGATCATCCAGGATAAATTGCATAGACTGTGTTGATTTACCCGATCCTGTTTCTCCGCTGATGATAGTGACATGGTTGCTTCTGACGGTACCGATTATGGCTTCTCGCATCTGCCAGGCAGGGAGACCCTGACGCTTGGATACCATGTTCTTCAAAGATGATGACTCTTGTCGTCGAAGCCATTGCTCCCGGATTTTCTCATCCTTTATCCATTTGATCCTTTTTGGGGCGCGTGTACTTCGTTTGTTTTGTGCAATAGCCGCAACGGGTTTGTACTCGGCTGCGGCTGAGGAGACAGCCGAAATATCCACCAACTTTCCAGGCTCTTCAATGACGCCGTTGATGTTCTGCTGGACCCAGTCCATTGCCAGGTAGATCTTCATTGGCTCATCACGCAAAGACTCATCGATATACTCGAGTGCTTTTCGAATGATGCTAAGCTTGATATAAGAAGGAATGTTGGCCACGATCGACAGAATCAAGTTGGCAGGATACGTAGCTGGACGTCGAACCTGAAAAGAGGCATCGACGGTCTGTTGCCCGTTTTTGACAGAATCGAGCTTGATGCGAATGATGTGATCGCCCTCACGTTCGAAACCCTCCCCATATATTGCTTCAAGACTCCCAACTTCTTCTTCCCACTGTTCCTCGGGTGAGCCCAAATCCAAGAAGTCAGTATCGGCGGAATCCTGGGATTCTCGGGGAAAGAGCAAATTCTGCAAAGTCTCTGCGGCTTTGTCCTCATCAACCCCTTGTTCGTCCAGCACCCTTGTAGCCAGCTCAAGTGAGTAACCTGCTTGAGCTAGCCGTTTGATGATGCCCTCCCTTCTCAAATTCGTAGCTCCGACCGAAACTCCAGCCGCATAGCTTTCTGGTAAAGCCCATCGAGGAAGATCATCTTCAGGGACATGGATGAGAAGCCACTCGAGCGTCTCTTCTCGATCTTTGCAATATTCGACTGCCTCTTCAACATGGCTTTTACGGAAGCTGAGCTTGCTGAGTTCAGCAATAATAGCGTCTTTTTGAGGTTTCGACATCTGAACACCATTTGGATTCCACTTAACGCCGCTTCGCAGCAACGTCTCTAACTGTGCTCTTGTCTTCTTCCCCATCTCAACCTTGGGCGCAGTACTCCATCCCTTCATGATGTTGGATGATCGACTGTCTCCCTTACCAGCATTACTCATAAGGACCAGTCCAGAAGCACCAGGCATGGCAGCTGCCTTAGCCTTAGCGGCCTCAATTTCTTTCCTCTTCTTTTCTGCGGCAGCCTTTGCTTCTTGACGCTCTTGGAGTGCTTTAAACGGGTCTGGTTCATACATCCAGGCCTTGCCTTCTTTCACATCTTGGGTTTTCAGAGCCTGGAAATCTTTCCATAATGACTTGTGCTCTGGTGGGAGAACCGTGTGTTTATTCTGCATACTACACACTCTGAAGAGGGCATATGTTGCTGCGGCATGCTTGGCTTCTATTGCCGTAGGGCGCATGATCAGATGCTTATGAGTTGCTGGAATTTTGAAGGGATCTAGTTTGGTGATCTGTTGGGTTTTAGGATCCTTGGCGCTCATAGTAACCCATACAGAGAAACCATCGGGGGTCTTCTTGGTATCATAATCGGGCCTTTCCCATTTCTGCTTCTGGCAGTACTCGCTGAGCAGGTTTACTGGCAGCTTTCCTGTCCACGAAGAGCCGCCGATGAGCTGCTTGACCGTAGGTTTTGGGGGGCCCGAAGGAGCTGCTTCAGGAGTAGAAGTGCCACCTTTTTGGCCCTTTTTTCCTTTTCCTTGGTCTTTAGGCGGCGCAGACGGCATGGGATCAGAAAGATCTATACCGCCACTGGACTTTCCTTTGCCTTTCTTGACCATTTTGAAAGGATATGGTCTGTTGGTTGTGTTGTTGTAGAATTGATATGGGAAATGCTGGGTTGGTGATCGATTAGTTAGTGGAGCTCACTCGACACACAGTAATAATTGTCAGCCACGGAATGTACTTGATGATTATGAAAGGGCGAGGTGATAGATAAGGCTCGGAATATACTACCAAATGTCAGTATTCATATCTTATCACAGCCAATCTCTATTTTTCAGAAACTGCCCGCAAGAGCTGCAACATCGAAACAAAGAGATGAGTTGCAGCATGGCCAAGTAAAATTCTTTGGGGGGAACAAGAAGTATATTTTAATTCACACTGTACGCCATTGCAGTAGTGCAGGTATATTACAGTGCGCCTTCTTTTACATGTACGGACCTCGTAGCCCCGCTATTAACGCTCAAACTCGACCCTTCCAAGGCTTCGAGGGAAGACTCTGATTATTATCTATATGGGTAGCTCAACGAACAATGCTTTGGGTGGATTCAAACACAAATAATTTCCCTTCTCACTCAAGTACGGGGAAATAAGTCCTCTTCATTCGACACAAATCTACAGTCAGAAACATGACATGTCATCCATCATGCCTGGTCATCATGAATGAGGGGCAAGCACCCATCGTGTTCTTTTCGATTAACTACGGTCTCTGGCTACCATTGAACCAGATTCACCACCACTTGGTAGCGAATTTCGTAATCTTCGAGCTTCATCGTCACAGAAGTCCTGGTGCACTAGCATAGGCCTCTCCGAGGCATCCGTCCTCGATTGACGCTGCCTCTCACTTCACCTCAGCGGTCGTCCTGCGCAAGTCCCACGTGCGTAAACACCAACCATCATGGTGTCTTCAGCATGTACACGTAAACTCGTCGGCGTCTGTGGAGTCTTGTCATGGGCATTCATGACCGAGAAGCCAAACGCCACCGCCGACTCCGCTCTGGTCTTACTTCATCACTCTCAGGCTGGAGCTTTCAAGCTACCATAGGGCCTGTAATCTGAGGGGGTGGGATTTTCCCTCGTATAAACCTTCCAGATACATTAAAAAGACGCGGTATGGGGTGTGATATCATGGGGATAGGGGTAAACGACAGTCACATAAAACTGTTCCGGGGGAAGGGGTGGTGATGGTGCTATGTTTTTTTTGGGGGGGGGGGGTGGGTTGGGATTGCTCCACATTCTGGATTTCCTATCGAAATTCTCAATCCGAACCGGCGAGCCTTTTACATATCCATGGCGTCGCTACCCTTGGCAAAGTCGAAACCACCTGAGGGAGCAGCACCGTTGGTACCGAAGCCGAATGTGCCATTAGGGCCAGCAGGTTGTTGGGCCATACCCTCGTCGGCGTTCTCCTCATCGTCCGAGAAGTACTTCTCGATGATGTTGTAGGCCTTCATGTAAATCTCCTCGTTGGCATTGTTCTGGCAGTCGTGGATCTTCTCCATGCCACCACACTCCTCAATGAACAGAGCGTACCGGTTGATGGAGTCGCCAGACTCACCAGCGGCCTGCTTGTCAAGGTCACCGATCTTGAGGATGTTCTCAAGGCCGTCCAGGGCAACCTGAATGATCTTGTTATCGGGGCAGCCAAGTAGATCGCACAGGGGCTTGATGCAACCCTGAGAAACTAGATAACGGATTTGCTCTGGCTTCTGCAGACCACCGGAGGTGGCGTTGCTAATGGCCCAGCAAGCCTCCTTACGGGTTTTAAGGTCTCCGTTCTGCAGAAGGTGGATCAGAGGAGGAACGATGTTGGCATCAATGACAGCCTGAATCTGGGAAGAGTTGCCGGCAGTGATGTTGGAAATTGTCCAGCACGCCTCCTTTCGGATGCCATCCTTGGTAGAGCTCAGAAGAGACAGGAGGCAGGGTAGGGCGCCGCAGTTGATAATAACCTGGGTTTGAACGTCGTCACCGGTAACGATGTTGCCAACGGAGCGCAGGGCGGGAGTCTGTACAGACGTAGAAGCGTGCATAAGAAGCTCAACCAGTCGGCGAGGAATGCCAGCCTCAATAACGGCCTGGATCTTGTCGTTGGATCCATCGGAGAGGTAAGAGATAGCCCAGCAGGCATCGATGAGGACTTCGTCATCAAGGGAGTAGACGAGCTTAGACAAGACAGGAAGAGCGGGTGCAATCTGGTAACAAATTAATTCGCGCTCGTTTTCTTGTTCTCAAATGTCAACTTACAGTAGTCCAGTCAGGCTGGGGGGTCTTGCCACGGCAGAAGTTGCTAAGTGTCCAAGTAGCATTGCGGAGCATGCTAAGCTTACGGCTATCGCCGAGAAGGTTAAGAAGAGGCTTAAGAGCACCACAGCTAAGGACATAGTCACGGCAGTGAGGGCTGTCACCGGCGATGTTGCCGAGGGCCCAGACGGCCTGTTCCCTGACATCAGGCTCGGGGCTAGCAAGAAGCTCGACGAAAATCGGGACAGCACCAGCCTCAATGACAACCTGTGTCTGAGTGGCGGAGCCGGATGCGATATTGGTCAGAGCCCAGGCAGCCTCGAACTGAACCAGGGTGTGAGGGGATCGCAAGAACTCGACAAAACGACTAACGACGCCAGTCTTGATGACCTCCTCGATCGGGGGGTTGCGCTCCTTGGAAAGAAGCTTTCGGAACTTGGTTGTGGCCTGAATCTGCGAATCGATCTGGTCCGAGAAGACACCCTGCACCATCTGAGGAAGGTCCTCATTCAACTAGAGGCGGGGGTTAGCAAATGCGTACAAGAGATACACAGCCAGGGCCGTGTTATTCGCAGCGATGCATGATCGCAAGAAAACGGGGAGTAGAACGGGAACATAGCCGCACCCGTACCCTGCCTTTTGCTCAAACCCGCCAGAACCAGAATGTGGGGTTATTTGAAGTGTAGATTTTCCCCCACATCACAGGCAGACGGGAGGGACGGGGCGAAGCGAAAGCGACAAGAGATTTTGCGCAAGCAGCAGGCGAAACCAGCATTTGGAAGGACAACCTAAAGATCGAGAAATAGAAAGGCACATACCTGGGACTCGGTAGGAGCGGACTCATCATCACTATCAGGGGCGGCACCGAGAGAAGCACCAGGGCGGTTCTCACCGGTTCCAATACCTCGACGCTTGGCCAAGTTCTCCTCACGCTTGGCCTTCCGGATCTCGACTTGCTGCTCCTCGCGACGACGACGGAGCTCCTCAGGCTTGAAGGTGTTCTTGGCCTTGAACTGAGTTCGGCGATGCTCGGGAATGTATCGCTCAGCCATGATGACTGCGATTGTTTTGGTACGAGGGGGCGTTGGTAGGTGAACAGTAGCAAATTGATGTGCGGGGTGAAAGATGCACAAAGGGTTCGCAGAGAAGGAGATGGAAAGAGCTCAACGTCTAGGGAGAGAAGACTTGCTCTGCAGCGTAGAGTAGAGAATCCAGTGAGGAGAAGAGGATGAGGGGAGGGGGGAAGGAGAAAGTTTTGTTGTTGATGTTGATGGAGAAGAGAAGTCTTGGGTCTGGGTCTGGGTCTGGTCGGCCGGGGACTAGGAAGGCGTCGAAATGATTGACCCAGGCAGTGGGCGAGTCTTTCTCTGGGCTTTGGGCCACTGATTGCCTGCTAAACCTAAAGAGAAACCACTTCCACCGCAAGGGCCCCAGTCGGGTGATTTCAGCCTCAGGCAGAAACCACTCCGCCCGTAGGTTGTTAGTTCAGCACCGTGCAATCAAATCACCTTCAGCTCTGTAGACTAGACATGAAAGGAGGGCTACTCTGTGAATGATGTGGGTAAGGTTAATCTAAAGAGAACAGGTCATTGTTTTTATCCACTTGGAGATCAAGTAATGTAAACAAAGTAACTACTAGCGAACGAACGAACATTTCACGGCAATTCCTTCGACATGGCTTGGTGCCTGAAACTCAATAGACGAAACTTCTGTGTCCTGACCCCTTTGAATGTTGAGGCACACATAGGAAAATCTACACTTAGAAATTGCATGGCGTATCCGTAGCGTCTAGCTCTCTGTTCACAAATAGGTACATATCCCACGAGGTCGCCACTGTGCCGTTAACATAAGGTAGGTACTGTATAACAAATCTTGGAAGTCGGATCAAATCACATGCATCATCACGTGCTGTCGCGCCTTTCTGATGGAGGGGTAAGCTCCCCTGACGCGTCAAGGCCCAAGATGCTGTATCAATCGCGTCTTACAGACCCATTCATTAGGTACCTACATCCATGCCTACCTTACCTTGGTACCTTAGCTGACGATGCATTGAGCATCCATATGCTGCCACCAACGCAATCGCGAAGAATCGTTTATTTTTCGAATTTCGCCCACTACCAACGACCATCTATTCGTGCTATTTAAGCCTCGTTGTTTCACAGTAGAAACAATGCCTCCCCAATCTTCATCAACACTTCCAGGATACGTCGCCATCCGTGATATCCTGGATGGGAAAATTGCAAACAAGGCTTTAGTCAATGTGTACGGCCTTGTTTCCGGTTTTCGTGAGGCGATGCAAACAAAAGGGAAAGGTGAGAATCTATCTCTTCCTACAGTAAATTATGTCATCCAACGCATCTAGACTACAAATGTCAGGTTCGACTCTTCGACTCATCTGTGGATGATGATGGCTTAATTGTCTTCGACATCTTTCGTCCGAAAGAAGACCTACCGAATCCCGGCCTCGGTGATGTAATGCTAATCCGTCAAGCAAAAGTGAGTTCCTAAAACGTACCAAAATGCTTATATTGACAGTCACAAAAGGTTCAATCATTTGGGTCTGGTGGCCCATCTCTCTTGAGTACTTATAACACGAAGATCTCTCAATATAAAGCCTCCAAAATTCCGAGAAGCCCTAGCGAAGCTTCATGCGCTCTCTGTCCACCAAGTAGCGTCAAAGACACGGCGCCAGGCAATAAGGAGAATGCTTTCGTGTCTGCAATGTATCACAGGATTGACAAGAGTCGATTACCTAGTGAAGAAACGTTTGAGACCATGGTTGTTGCGTCACGGAACGTCAAAGACAAGTTCAAACTCCTTCAAGATATCCAAGAGGGATGTTTCTGTGACATCGTTGCCCAGGTCGTTCGGCCACCCCACGATGGCGGAGACAAGATGACTCTATGGGTTTCCGATTATACAGAGAACCCATTGTTTCACAACTTTTCTGTCGGCTTCGACGAATCCCCTATCGGCCGAGATGGTGATCCATTTGGCTATACCGACAAGTACACTACGGCTGCTAACCCACCGAGCTGGCCGGGCCCTTTTGGGAAGAGATGCATCCAGATCACATGCTGGGAACCCCATGTAACTGCACTTCGTGACCAAGATATGGGAACTCTCGCATGGGTTTTGATCAAAAATTTGCAAATCAAACTAGGGCACAGTGGTGCCAACCTGGAGGGATTCTTGAGAGAAGATCGTGATCCGTATGGACCAAAGATTAGTATTCGTATGGTAGGATCGAATCCCGACTCAGAGAATTTCGATCCGCGTGCGAAGGAGGGCTTGCAAAGAAAAAGACAATACGAGCGCTTAAGAAAAGGGCAGGCCAGAGAAATCAAGGAGGCCTTGAGGGTCGGACAAAAGCGCAAGCATGGCGTAGAGTCGAAATCCGAACCAAAAAAAGGCAACTCAAAGTCGAGGCGCAATGAAAAACGATCGAAAAGCAGAGCCAACAAACAAGGTGAGGCCAGAGAGCCTACAGAACAGGGTGTGGTCCCCTTCATGGACCTAAACAGTCGAGGTAAACTCGCCTGAGCTCACAAGACTCCTTGATACAGCAGCTGACGATCCTTTAGTGAAATGCGAAAATGAAGACAAGCCGGCTAGTTCGATTGCCGAAATCACAAAGCTTGTCCAACATGAAACTACTGTCGATGATGACCTTGTAAAACTTCCTCTGCCCTTTGTGAACTTGAACTACAGAGCAAACGTTCGAGTTGTCGACTTTTCACCATCAAACCTTGCAGATTTCGCCTATCCGAAGAAGGAGTCAGAGTATGAGGACCTTTCCGATGACGGTGAAGAGTCGCCGTCCAACAGCGAAACTGAAGCTGAAGATGAACAGCTAATCCAGAGAACGCTGGATGATTTCTCCGGGGCGCGAAACTGGGAGTGGCGTTTCTTTTTGGAGCTTGAGGACGCTGCAGTTGCTGAGAACCATAAGAAACAGAAACTTTGGGTGGCAGTCGACAACCTATCTGCTCAATTACTTACTGGGCTCGATGCATGCAACTTGAGACGAGATAAGCAGGCCCTGGTAAAGCTCCGCGACAAGATGTTTACGCTCTGGGGAAATCTGGAAGAGAAAAAGGCCGCTGCTCAGGAAGCGGCAAGAAAGGGGAAACCTCCAGATGATAGCGACGATGACGATCAACAGCAGCCCGAGCCAAAGAACTACGGCAAAACGCAACTCACAAACCGGGCATTTCCATGTTGCATAAAGCAATACGGTATCAAAGTTACCGAGCCAGAACCGTCACAAGCTAACGCAGGGAATGGGAAACGCTGGCAGAGAATGTTCCAACTTTTTGGCGCCAGGATTGTTGGAGAATAGTCTGTAACGGACAGTCAGTTTGGTTGTGGTATTGAAAACGAACTCAGTAACGATGGACCGTGTTTGTGAGGCGCATGGGGAGGGAAAAGTTGTATTCAGATCTTGATCTTAAGGTGGTCACTGGCCAGTTTTGTCCCAAATAGGAGTGAAGAGCGATTAGACCGAGGCGAAGTTGTTCTGATTTTGCAATGACTATAGAATTTTTGTACACGCAGTCTTTTGACGCCCCAAATTCAGGTCCTCTGCCGCATACCCAGACTCCAGCATGTAAGTCCAAACTGGCAAGAGGCAACATACAGAAACTAAGAAAACAAAGGAACCATCCGAAACTATACCGCCTTATTCACAAAATGGAAACAGAAAACGCGCATCATTTCCGCCGAAGGTTGCAATAGTTATGTATCCACCATGTGAGAGGTCAAACTCGTTGTTGTGTCTAATCCCCTATAACATCATCGTCTGATTCGTGAGCTGGTCGTTCCGCTTCTTCATCTTCATTTTCGTCATCGTCTTCGATTGGATCATCCTCAAGAAGACCCTTTGCGCGGAGATCTTCTCTGGAGCCCTCCTCTGGTGGCGGCGTGTCATCAAAGATGTCATCCTCGTCATCCTCTCCAATTACAACGGCTTCGCTAAGCTGGGCCTTCTGAGGTTTGGTGCTTGTTGGAGCCTGTGTATGGGCGGCCTTTTTTCTTGTCCGCTCGGCCAACTTCTCTTCGTCTAGGTAGGTAACGACTTCTTTGAAGTTATTGCCAAGTTTGTTTTGGTTGCGAAGAAGACGCCGCCTTAGCTTGCCTGCGTGTGAGCCCTTATGATCCACCAGGCGAGCAGTAATCACGAGGACGTATTTTGCGGTGAGTTCGCACAAGGCTTTTTCGGCCTTGAGTTCGGCAGTGAAACGCTCTTCCTCAGAAAGACCCTCGTCTTCATCCTCGTCCTCTTCGTCTTCATCATCAGCCATAGGATCTTCGTCTTCAGCTGGCTCATTTAGGGTTTTGTCCTTCTTTATCTTCTTGGCATACTGTTTCTCGGTGCCGTCAAAGATAGCAATCAACTCAGGGATGAGACCGGATTCGATATCTTGAATCAATGTCTTGTATTTCTCGCCATCCGAAGGTTGTGACTCAGAACTCGACGAAGGCCGGAGTTGATCAATAGCTGGACGGAGGGTGGCGAAGGTAAGGTGAAGGTCACACAAGCTGCCAGTAGCGAATAATCTCAGCTGGTCAATGGCGGCGCGTGACGACAGAGTTTCAATAAGATGCCGGCGGAAAGATTGGCGAAGTGCCGATAGTCGATCAAGCTCATCGTCTGCGATGCTCCCAGTCGTTGACAGGAGTTTGGAATAAGCCAGCGTCTTCCACATAAAGTAAAATTGGCAGGTCTTGATCGCAAATGAGACCACCACATCCTCGAGATCGTCAATGTCTTGGTCATCGAGAGGCTCGTACTTACCGCGATGAACAATGTTGGCTAGTATTTGAATGGGAGGGTTTGTTGTTGATTCGGACGAGTCTTCGTCAGCCTCCAAGACATCGATACAGTCTGAAATGCTCGCCAGCTTGCTGATTTTGAGAAGAACTGTTGACAATTCCCTGAGAGGTGCCTCGCCTAGATTACCTCTCGACGAAAGCTCATAGGTTTTGTCAAAGTTGTGTAGAGAAGTAATGACAGTTTCCCACAAGTATGACAATTTATTGTCTGTGATTTCCTCCAACTCTCCGTGCTGTCGCGAATGCAATAACGCCGCAGTTGCTTCTGACAAAACTCTCTTATCGTCATGCCGATTGAACTGTGTGACGATTTCGTCGAGCAGCTTTTCGTATCTGTTTGTGTTTTGACGAAGTGGCTTGAAGAGTTCAAGATCGAGAAAATGCGCCAGGCGAAGAACAATCGCAGCTGTGTCTGGCTCTGCTCCAAACTTGCTTAGAAGAGGAGGGATTACAATGACCAGCTTGGCTGCTGTATCTTCAGGGCTTATTCGTACATCCTCGGCTTCTTTGCCTGTCTGTGGCTTCTTTTTTGATCTGTCGTGTTCAGGCGCATGCGTCAGGCTGGATTTTACTGCTGAGCTCAACACATCCAGGAGTATCGATTCTTCCTCGGTGGTAGGTGCGACGGCCTTCTTGAATGCAAGATCTGGGTTGTTTGCCTTGGACCGGGATTTTGAACTCGTTGTGTGATCAAAGAGCAAATATCCTGCCAAGAGTGTCCACTGCTTGATCGCATTGACCTTGTCGAACAGTACTTGGGCCGCCAGCGAGATCCTGGTCTCTGGAACAGCAGACTCCAAAAGATCAACCGCAACATCCAATCCCAATATCTGACCACTTTGGTGCTCCTCCTCGATCTGATTGTCATAGATGGCAAGGGTTTCGGCAAGGCACTTCAGGTCAATCCATTCCATACGGGGGGCGTCAACAGAAGCCTTCTTCCCGCGGGGTATGTCCTCTGTAGCTTCAGAATCACGCAGTTCTTTCGTCTTTTCACTGATAGCGTCCCTAGTGCATGCGACGAAGAAGCCAACAACCGCCTTTCGAATTCTGAGTTCATTGTCAAATATGAGCTTCCCAATGGCGTCCACCTCTTCGCCTTCCAAGAGATCTTGGTCGCGGAGGACGTCAATAACGCCAATTGCTGCGACGCGAACAGCGACATCGGAATCTTTGCAGGCCATTTCAACCAATCGCGGGCGAAATCTGTCAATAAAATGGCCCAGCTGCCCTGCGTCTCTCCGAAAGACTTTGGTAAGCTGCTTTAAGACCTCGAGGCGAGTGGGAGCATTGGTATCTGACAGCATCCAGCCAAGATACCGGAGGTAGCCCGGCTCAAGGAAGATGACAGGCAGGGAAATGATCCAGTTCCCAAGTGCTTCCACACACTCAGTTCGAATCTTGGGGTCGACATCTCGGTAACGATGCACGAAAACAGTGTCGAAAAATGACTGTATTGCATCAGCGCAAGCTTTGCGATCTTTGTTGGTCTGTTCCCTGTCACGCTTTTCAGTGCTCTTCTTGAGTCTGTAGTCCAGATCGTTAGCTACTGTGACCAGCGCACTCTGGACTGCCAAAGATATAGTGGTTGCGGTATGGCGGAAGGGTCGGAGTGATGATGAGGACATGCTAGCAAGCCATGTATGCAGGTTGTCAAGAAATGTTTCGTCTCTGTACATCAGACGACCTTGGTGCATATCAACGATAAGGCATTCGAAGAAGGAAATGAGTACGTCTCGAAAGGATCGTGAATGTTTGGTTCTGGAGATGAGAGGATAGTCGGTAATTTGTTGCTGTGATAATGTCAGCAAAATCTGCATGGCTAGAGACACGATTGAGAATTGCAATACCTCTTGGTAAATGCTCTGAAGATCTGCCAGTCGCCCTGCAACGTTGTCCAGGTCTAAAACGTCGTCTTCTGTGATGAGCTGATCACAGCCAGCGCATTGAAGGATGCAGTTCACCAAATCAGCAGTGGCTGCTACTGCGTTTGTCTTGTAGCTAGCCAGCCATTCTTCTGCCACCGATTTGCTAGAATCACCCGATCCGAATAGGTGGGCTTTGTAGTGTCAGCATGTAGGAAAGCACGCAGGAAGAGAAATTTTAGCCTACAGTAGAGCCCATGCCCTTTCACAGCAGCGTCTTCAATGCGAACACTCTTCTTAGGTCTGCTCGGGAGACTCTTGGCGGCATGGGTCACTCGCGCAGGCCGCAACGGCTTGGAACCATTGATCTTGGGCTTTTTGGCTGAAGGCTTCTTTGCGCGACTTGTTTGCGACGACTTCTTTCGAGAGCGCGGTGCAGGATGGTCTTCATCACTGTCATTGTCGGGTTCGTTGCTCATCTCCTCGTCTGAGTCGGGCGCTTCATTTTCCGCATCTTCCTCCTCGTCCTCTTCTTCGTCATCCTGATCGTCTCGCTTGCGCTTTGGGTTTGTCGATTGAGTTGTGGTATCAGGAGTAAATTTGGTGGGTGCCCTCACGACGCGTCCCGATCGGCGACGCGTTGTCGCATCAGGATCCGGAGACGGGCTCGCGTTGTTGTCCATGGTGTCTCTTGGGGGTGGTCGTGATATCGGCATTTGAAATATCAATGTCTGGTGGTTAAACCCTCGATGCGAGGGTGACAATGGGTTTTTTTAGCCACTTGGCGCGTCGAATGTCGCGTGGAGTAAGTAGAGTGCAAATGGGGATGGAGATGGGGATGACGGCGGCGCAAGCTGTTCTGGAAAGTGGGTGGGTGGTGCCAGTTTTCATTGCCACGGGTGAACATCGGAGAAGTAGCAGGTAATCTTCTTAACGAATACCTGAGAGTCCTTATATAGGTCTTTACGACCAGCTTTACCTCTAGCATTCATCTGGCTTGGATCCGTGTGTTTGTTTCCACAGCTACATGATATCACGGTAGATTTGTGCTTTTTACAAATGCCAATTAGCCCGACTTCATGCAGCGTCTTTGGAGCTCCCCTTTCTGCCTCTCACAGTGGTGTACCTACGACATAACCCCACGATACCAGCTGGTGTGGGCCCACAGCCACCTGTGTCGACCAACGATCTCTTATCTCTTATCTAATAGTCGACAACCTTTGACTCGTGCCTCAGTTTCAACCAAGGTAAGGTATTTATTTGTTAGTCAAGGTGCATCAAGATGGAGACGCAGTCTGTCGTTACTATTGCCTGTGCCCAATCAAACTTCCATTGATTATTGGACTTCTACCTTTCACTATCATCGCAACATGGTTCCAAAATGGACTCGCCTTTCCCTCCCTCATCCTCCTCTCCTGGCGATGGCCGCATCGTCGTTGGCCTCCTCCCTGCCGGCGAGAGCGGTCTTGAGACCATGACTTATCAGTATCCTTTGAAATTAATATCCCCGGCTCCTTCGTCTAGCCAGCCAAGCACTCTCGTTTTCCTATTATCCTATGGAGGGGGGCTTGTTGCTGGAGACGGGGTTAATCTGACAATACACGTCAAGCCGCAGGCGAAGCTCAGCATCGCTACCCAAGGTCACACAAAGATTTTCAAATCGCCTACAGCCGATGTCGTCACAACTCAAAACTTGGACGTTACCATAGAAGATGGTGCTTCCATGTGTCTCCTTCCGGATCCTGTTCAGCCGTTTGAGGATAGTGTATACGCCCAGAAGCAAATATTCAAGCTCAGAAGCCAAGCGTCGCTCTGTCTCTTGGATTGGGTCACCCAAGGGCGTGTGGCTCGTGGAGAGAACTGGAGCTTCAGGAAATGGACAGGGCGGAACGAGATATGGCTACAAGATCCTCAAACAACTACGGCTGATAGACTCTTGGTACGAGACTCAATCATCCTATCGAGAGATGCGAGTAAGTCCGTGGGCCGCACACTGCCAGAAATGATGCAGCATATGGCAATATCAGGAACCCTTATATTGCGAGGATCCAAGACCAAATCGTTGGGGGAATTCTTTCGGAATGAGTTCGCTGCACTTCCTCGCATTGGAGCCCGGGACTTCCGCTCACCAGAAGCGATGGCGCAAAGCATCACAGATGTTTCTGAATTTGAGCGTTGGCGACTACAGAGACTCAAAGAGGAGAAAGAAGGTGGTGTCCTCTGGTCTGCAGCCAATGTTCGAGGGTGCGTGGTTGTCAAGTTTGGGGCCAAAACGGTTGAAGCCGGAAGAGAATGGATTGGATCAATGATTATTCAGGAAGGGAGCATTGCTTCTGAATTCGGCGATAAAGCACTGATGTGTCTTCGATGAAACAAAGCCTTAACTACCATCACATGAAGAAGAGGGCGTGTTTTTTTCCGGCTCTTTTTGAGAAGTATGCCGATTGGATATGCAGAATCAATCAACGACACCATGTCTCCAGATTCAGAAGGCACATTGGTGCATTCTCTGTCTGACTGTTACAGATCCGGGAGTGGTGTGGCTGGTGTATAGTTGTATTTTTCATTTTGGGATCGCCTTGGTTTACCAAAGCTTGACCACTGCTTGAACAGCAACTGGGCTGTCCATTGTCTCCGGCCAATACGAAGAGACTGCAGCTGGTAGGATCTCAGGTCAAGCTTGTGCAAATCGCTGAACACGCAAATACTTCTCTTATGCCAGCTTTGTATATCATACACAATTTCCTGCATCAGTACCATAGTACCATGAATTCCGTGCTCCTCGGTACCAACTAATCGAAAGGCATCACCATTTACATAAGATGTGCAGCCTTTTACTGGTGGCTTCGTTCCATTGTATCGTCTATCTTTCTACTGATAAACACGCTTATCACACTGTCTATCGGTCATCCGTCGGCCAATACCATTTTTATGAAAGAACCCCAACTCAAAGTTCGAGAAAAAAAGTTCGAGAAAAAAAGTTCGAGCCTGGCGCAGGTACACAGTACATCCTCTCGTCTGGTTGCCGCCATACAAGCTGTATGTAATGATGGCCTGATCGCACCCCACTGGATCTTGGCCAATAGGAGCTCAACAGTATTTCCATATTGGGAAACAATGTTGATACATCAAGCAGTCGAGAGTGACTCAGTGATTTAGACAAGAGCTCCTCGACTAAGTACCACGGATAGTTAAGCATATATTTTGGGAACAATTAATTATAAGCTCAGAATAATGTTGTTATAATCTCTATAAAAGATAGACTACTTTACCTTAAAATTTAAATAAATAAAAAAAGCATTTAAAAAAGAAAGTAATACTTAGGTTAAATAGTAAAAATATATAATAGTAAAGCACTCTTTTATATAATATTCTCTTATAGAATTAATATAGGATTCTTAAGCTTTCTAAAGAACTGACAGGAGTGATATGTTTTAGATAAATAGAAAATTCAAGGCTTGGAGCAAGATAGTATGTTCTTTAAATTAAGGCATCGTTAGTAACTGTTCTTCATACCGACCATTTGGCCTATCTGCAGAATCGCTGCCTGTATCTTGTATAGAACTTAATTTGTCCTAGTTTGTTTATTTAATATCTTAGGTAGCCTCGATAACTTGACTACATCCTTACCCAAGGTATTCTATCAACCTCAGAACAGTTGGGTGAGTAGGCGGTGAGTACTAGAAGTCTCACAAATGGCAGAATTTCATCGTCCCCCCACCATTCCGAACCCCACTATTATACTTTCGCATTGCGACTCAGGCTAAATTTTTGAAAGCTTCATCTGCGACTAAAGCCTTGGATACCGAAAATTACTACTCGCCGCCTACATTGACTCTCAGCCTATAAACAATAATCATAATACCAACAATATGAACCGTGGTAGGGCACCGGCCCGGGGCAGTCGGAGAGGTGCGGCCGTGGCAAGTTCACGGGCAGCTGGTGAAAATAACGCCGGCTCTTCTACTTCAGCCGTTACAGATACTCCAGGCAACGCCACTCCAGTACCTCAGAGTATAGCGACTACATCAACTCGCGGAGGGGCTACCACTCGGGCGACAAGAGCTCCTGCAGCTGGTCGCTTCCGACCCAAGAACATTCGCCGAGATGAAGCAGAACGAGACAGTCTTGCCCGTCAGGAGGAGCAGAAAGCCAGCGAGAGAGCAGCAGATGAGCGCAAGGCGAGAGGGCGCTCACGTTTCAGGAGTAAAAGGAGCCGTGGTGATGCCATGGGCAGAGGCGGTTTTGGTCGAGTCATTTCGGGAGCCAGTGGCCCATTTTCCTCTGGTGCAGCAGGTAAGCCTTACCTCCGAGATATCATGACTCGATTGCAGCTTTCTAACGGATACAGGCTCCGGCGGGCGTGCAGGCGGTGGTTGGTTCGGCGGTGGAGGAGGAGGTGGTGGTGGTTTTGGGGGAGGTGGTGGAAGAGGATTCAAATCGGATTCGAAACCTGGCTTTGCTCAGGCGTCACGGTCTCGCGAGGCCCGAATTAACGCGGATAAACTCCATGTTCATACTCCCGAAGAGGACCTTGATAGCGAAGACGAGGCCATGATCGAGGCGCTCAATTCCCGCGCCGTTAGCGTACTTCCTATGGGCATATACCGACGAGAGCATAAGGATGAGGGTGTCATAGTGGCCACCACAGCAGAATTAGAAGCCGCAGAAAATGCTCAAGCTATTCCTCCCACCCCTTCAAAGGAAGAGGAGAGCCTTTGGGTGGATGGCGACGCAGACGAGCCTCTCTTAACGGACGAGAACGCAGAAGATGGTGGCATCTGGAAGACTGATACGAAAACGCCAGTCGTCAAAAAGGAGCCTGGACTCGACGACTCTATGGATTTGGATATCGAGGCAAAGGCCGATGCAGGAGACAAAGACAAGCAGCCTTCCGAAACACCAGCGCCACAGACCAAGAAGCCAAAGCAAGACCCAGAAGAGGTCATGATCCAGTCAGATCTGGAGATTCTCGCCAATGAATTGGGTGCTGTCGGAATATCCGAGGGCGAAGAGGGCAAAACAGAAGGTCCGAGCAACAAGGATGGTCGCATGTACTTATTCCAGTTCCCTCCTGTGTTGCCTCCTCTGAAGCCAATTATCCAACCCAGGTCCATCAACAAAGTCAAGCCTGAGCCTGGTGAGGGCGAAGATAATGTCTTGGAATCAACACCAGCCGCCGCTGACACAGAGCCTGTGGATCTCACCACCGACAAGAACACTGCGGGACTTAATGTACCAGGCTTTGAAGACCCCGAGCAGAAGGCTGGTTTCATGTCCAGCCTGCTATCAACGGGTGGTATGGTAGGCCAATTAAAAGTACGCAAGTCAGGCCGTGTAGAACTCGATTGGGGCGGCACTACTATGGAACTGAACCCTGCCACGGGGATGAATTTCTTAACAACGGCCGTCATCATTGAAGAGAATGACGAGAAACCTCGTCCGGGGGTTATTGGTGGAGAGAGTATCGGAATGGGCAAGATTATGGGTCGTTTTGTACTTGCGCCAAAGTGGGATGATGAGGAAGATTGGGAGGTCTCATCCGAGGACCTAAGGATTGAATAAGGACCATCCCACAGCCATGTGCCGATGTATGAGTATCATATCAACCCTGAAGATAAGCCACAGATACACTTGAAGACCGTAACCTAGCGAGAGTCGCTCGGTGAAGAATAGACAAAGATACCCAAACTACACCATCAAGCATTTCATGATTGTAGAGTGTGTCATGCCTATCAAGTATGCCCCGTCTGTTAAGCATTTTCAAACACGTGAACCATTGGTATCAGCGTTGATGATAAATGAGTCAAGAAAGTTAAAGAGGGTGTTGAAAAATGCTTCATTATCATAAACACATTAGAGGCTAACAAAATATCTGAACCTTATTCAATGCGCCATCTATCAGGCCTCTGCTGACTCGTGGCCTTTTACTAAACACCTGCTGCCTCTCCTTTTAGAGACCAAACCCATGGTGGCAAACTTATTGATTTGGCTTCCTGTATGTTCCAGCCCAACCCTGATCCTGACGCCTGTTGCTTCCTTTACCGAATGAAAACAAGTACAAAAAGTCCCCTATAAGATGTCGTTGTTGCAACAGAAAAAGAAGGAAATAGTCATATATCGGGCGCTCTCATCTCCGTTGGGTATCATATCATAATTCCATTCATCTGCCTCTGCCCCTCGTATCATCGCGTTCAAGTTCTTGGCTGTATGCCTCCAGGTCGTGGATTTGGTCGAAAGAGCTAGAAGCAGAGCGATCGTTTCGACTTTGCCAGGACGACGGGGGCGAGCTATTGCCTTGTATCACCAGGATCTCGCTTTTAACGATGCTCGCTTGACCAGGTGAGGTAGGGCCGTCGCCCACGTGTCGAGGAGGTAAGATTTCGATGTCGTTTGTGTGTGATAGGGAGTTCGTGTTGTTTTGTGACACCATATTGGTCAGTGAGACATCTTCAGGGCCAAAGCCTGGCATAATCAAGATTCCGGTTTTGGAACGGTTTGCGTTTGATCTGACAGCAGCAGAGTGGCCTGTGCCATAAGTATTTTCGGTCGATTCGAAGCCTCTGATCCTCATAGCACGAAGAAGTGGTCGGATGGTAGCTAGACTTGATGCAACAATAGCGACGCCTGGTTCTATCAGTGTCCAAACCATGGCATCGGTTCCAGCAACTTGAAGATGTCAGTTAGGAGAAGGCTACATATCCGGACGCTACTCACATAGAATGTCTTCCGTATCAGTAAGATCCGCCAGGAATCGTAGGCGTACAAGGGTCGCGACACTGGCACTTGATGGTATATTAGGCGAGGTTCTGAACAACGAGGAGAGCCAACTCACAATATGCCTAGCCCCAAAATTGCAATAACAGTTGTTTTTGCTTGCTTGGTCATTTTGACTGACCACAGCATTGGGATTGGTAGAAGGGCCTGTCGAGCATTCAGTATTGTGCAGCAGCTTAGCAGATGAGACAGTGTTTCACTTACGTAGAGCCAGTCAGAAACGACTGTCATAACACTTATGGCATAGGCCGCTGAGACGATCTGGTCTGCACTCACACAAGTACCGTCTTTTATCCTGAAGTCCCACTGCATTTCGACTGGTTTGCACTGGAATAGGTTCCAGAAAAAGAGAACTACACTCCAGATGCTGATAATAGCTAGACTGATCCGGATAATCCAGACGTAGACCCGTTTGACACATAAACGGAGCAAGAAGACACCAATGCTAAGTTTTATGAACATCATGTCCAAAATATAGGTCGCTGTTGCCAAAGCCTGCCACTATAATGGAGTAAATATCTGACCAAGAATGGGTGTCGAGGGAGAAGAGGATGCCTACCATAAGGGCTTGCACTTTGGCCTCATCGTCTTTGATGGCGTCATTGTGCTTTCCGATTCCCTTCTGGACACCTTCAAGGATAAATGCACATGATATCGTGAAGATGAACTAACTTTTGGTGAGAGTTGTCCTATGTAATATGATGAGAAATTTACCTGAGCAACGAGCATAAGCCAGTCATCGAGCTGCAAACTTTTCATCAAGACAGCCCTTGTATATGTGCGTAGCCCGACAGAGAACCAGCTTAGTGTCAAGAGAGTGATGGCTGTCGCGACCAAAGCAGACCCGTTCTCTTCATGGATTTTGATATCTTTATTAGTGGCCATGGCGCTGCAGCGTCACGAACAACTTTTCGAGCTCGAGCATGGCACACTCCTCAAAAGTCGTGGGAGAATCAAAATAAATAGCTCAAAGATGGGGGGGAAAATGATGTAGATTCACAAAACAGCATTAATGGGAGGGACGCAAGGGGGGGGGCTCACTGTGAGATATATCTCACAGCTGCGAGTGAATCACACATGCTAGGATTGCACCAACCGACCCGGCGGATCTGATCAAATGCAGGGCAAGGGTCTCCAACTCATAGCTGGCGATGGGGGGTGTCAAATTGAAGTTGATTTGTGTAGAGCAAGGGTGTGATACGCCGGATGCAAGGTACCAGACCTGCCATTGACCGAGAAGAGAGAGGGTGTGAAGCTGATGTTTTCGAGCACCCTTGCATCTTACCGTCTTGAAGACCATTTTGAGGCATGTTTCTAGCCGAATTCTTCAAGCCACTAGCTAGCGGGAGGCGATGTTGCATCCGCGAGCCCATGGAAATCCTGCAATGGGCCATGAAGGGAACGGTGCATCTGTCAAAGTTCTGTTTGGGCCAGCTTGATTGCAGGCAGGGCTGGTGAGGCATCGCCAGACCAGGTTGTTTGTTGAGGCGATGGCGTCAGTCCGCGCATGACAAGCATCAACATCAGATTGAGCAAGTTTGTACTGATGACAGTCAAGATTCGCATACCATGAAGCAAACCTTGTGTAACCAAGGCGGTACGTAGCGCAGTTGTTGGAGATGGTTAGGTTTGAGAAGAAAACAGGCGTGTTGTTTGAACCAAGTACCCTGTTTAGCGTGCCGAAGCCAGCGGCAACTATCTTTTCTTAGTTGAACGCCAAACATCGGGGGTTGGGAATACTTACAGTTAGGACTTAATAGAGTTTTTCGTAACTTGACCAAATCAAATGCACATCATGAACGGCCCCAAGCAAGGAGGTGGACAGAGACATGCCAGCATGCGCAATCATACGACAAGCATGGCTCAGGTTGTGGAGTCTCAACTCTCCTTGTTAGCCAATTTAGTTGAGACTTAACTTTGATCAAAGATAGTGAGAATAGAAAGATATTCGGTCTTCTCCACGATAAAAGTCGGTCGCTAGACTCTTCCAAGATGCTCTCTTGATAGTGCGAACCCGATGGTATGGTAGGACATTCTGATGAACCGCACTTCACTGCGGAACTACGGTTTCGGTTCAGCCATCGTTTCAGTATCAGCTCGCAGGAAAGCCTAGACTAGGTCCAAATCCCTGTCAAAACATGACATTTGGGGCAACCAAAGACTACACCCTTGTCTGCAAAGAATCGCTCATTACAACTCACAGTAAGCCGCCCATGAGGCCTGTCACTGAAGTACAGCGTCTCTTCTTAATTTCCTCTGGGCTGAGTCCGCTAATATATGCATCAGTCGCTTTTGAATTGAACTCTTGAGGTCACCATCGGGAAGTGGGGAGACGTTGAAGCACAGGGGGTCTGGCGATCATTGGTCCACCTCGCTTCCAGCATGCCTATCAGCTGAAGCCTGTGAGTCCCTTGTCGATACGTCACTATGTAGCATGAAGTTCATGAATATTAGTAGGCGACACGCGAAGGGTTGGCATAGTGGGAGTGAAACAGTGGTGATTCGAGAGCAATTTGCTAGGTGCGTCAAGGTATTTCCGTACGTGATCCATCTCACAGGCACAGCATGGTCAATTTCCCGAACCAGACACGTGCAGCCCCTGTAGTGCGAACCCATGCCCCTGAACATCTTCAGTCTTGACGGGTTTTTGGTGTGACCATGTCAGAGCAAAAGGCCAAAGATGCCTGTCGGTCATCAGCTTCGCTAGCGGTTTATCTCCCGATGATTCCGATTTGTGTGCGATCCTGCTGGCATGGTAGCTTATTGCGGCTACTCGTCTAATCATCTCAGGCCTGGGATTCAGCGACAGAAGATTTATAGGTTGAAGTGGAACACAATGATTATGTCTAAGGCAGATAAAGCCAGTACCGACGGCAAGACGGTTACATCGGAAGGCGTTCATCCGTGGTTCCGTGTCGCTATGTCTCTTTAAACGTGCTTCTTCCCGTCCCGTTCCGCAAAAAGCAATGCACCTGCCAACTGCAATTGCTACATAAATTACAACATGTTGTGCAAGGTGACCTGAGAGCTCCTTCTGTTTTCGTAAAATGTCCAAGTATTACCCCTATTATGAAATCCTGAATTAGTAGACTTTGCTCTATACTGTTGAAATCTAGTTCACATTTACATTCCAGATTCTCTCAACCAAGTCCCTTTTTCGGATCGTGCCAGAAAGTGACTTGTTCAATTCTGCAGATCTTATTGGAACGCCAGATATAAGTGCCCAACCCGATAAGTTGGAATCTTCATCCGATTGGCCGATCCCGGGGTTCGAAAGTTCCGACATCCCAAGACCCCCTCATCTTCGTCTAACGAGTGCCGATGTCTAGAACTGGGAACAACATCCGCCCCCAATTTAAAGAAGCTCGTGCTATAAAAAACGGCCAAAAGACCTAACGCCTCCGATCTGGGTTTCTCGCATCTAATACCCAATCCTTTACTGACCTCCGCGAACAACCCTGTTGTAAGCATTTCCTTTCGGGTCATAGCGTCGATAGTCTCCCAGAAAGCGAAACAAGATGGCCGATATTGCCGAAGACAAATCCCTGGGGCTCACTTACGCGTCTCACCAATACGGGAAACATAACCGTCAGAAACTAGGCGTATGGCGGTTTGCTGATCGCCCAGCCCAAAAAACTGGTTATTGGGTGGTGTAAGGGTACCCCATCGATCTGCTATTTCTCCGGTTTCACTAACAGCTTTCAGCTTCATCCATGGAGGTGCCTGGCGTGATCCTCGTAACAATGAGAACGATTTCACCGAGTCTATCAAGCGCATTGTCATATCGGGTGCAGTCGCGATACTGGATATTGCTGGCTTTGTCAGTATCGACTATCGACTATCCCCTCATCCAGACTTCCCCCAAGAGTCTGCCACCGTAAAACACCCAGATCATTTAGAAGATATCTGGTCAGCCTTGAACTATCTACAAGGCAAGTATGAGTTGTCAAACAACTACATCCTGGTCGGCCACTCTGCGGGTGCAACACTCGCGTTCCAACTTCTCATGAGTGGGGACATTCTCGCCTCTCACCCCAAGGGACCCTTGCCCATTGCCATTGTTGGAGTATCAGGTATATTCGATCTTGTTGGGCTCAACGACAGGCACAACGGCGGGTATGCTGGCTTTATCGGTGCCGCATTTGGTGACGATAAGTCTGCCTGGGAGAAAGCCTCTCCAGTTCGGTTCGGATCAAACTTCAGGGACAACTGGGCAAATGGGAAATTAACAATGCTTGCATGGTCTGCTGAGGATACACTTATTGATGAGCCGGAAATTGATACCATGGCATCTCTTCTAACAGAGCAGGGATTCAAGGTTGAAGTTAATAAGCACCTTAGGGGCGAGCACGATTTTGTATGGCAAGACGGGAGCCAGATAGCTCGCCTAGTCATCACGACTCTCCATCACTTAAACAGGATATAAAAAGACCTCGTATATATTATATTCACTTTAAACATTAGCATTTACTTGTTGCCTTACTTAAGAGCCTACGCCTCCTTATTCAATCATAAGTACCGAATCGTTGTTTTCGTGTACATGCCCAATCTTTTTTCCTCTTATTTCTTTTTCATCAGAACAAATCCGGTTGACGCAACTCTGGATGAAGCAATCATGAGAGCACCAAATAAAAACACAGTACCACCCCAAATCTGTGCATATACAAAGTTGCCATTCGATCTATCCAGAATGGCACCAGCAGTCGGTGGTCCGGCCAAACTGGCAAATGCAGAAATCGTCTGTACCATACCGAAGCGAGTACCCATCTTGCGGGGATCTTTATTGCCTGATCAGTCATGTACAAGAGAACAAACAGCAAGGCAAACGTTTGCGGATCTCTTACCTTTAGTCAAGCTCGCATTAGCACCAACAAATGTTCCCTGACACGCGCCGTTCACGAATCCAAAGAAGACGCAGAAAGCGTACATGCCAGCGACGGACTTGACGCCAATCCAACAGTACACCATGACGCTGAGTGCAGTCATCCCAATGAGGAACGCGTTTATCGGTCCCAGAACATTGTCTGCCAGGTATCCCATTATAGGCCGTGCAGGAATACTCATTGCGTTCACAATCAGTAGCAAACTGACAGCCTCAACTGCTGTAAACCCAATTACGTTGCGAGCATAAACATTGATCTGTTTACTGTTAGCAACAATATCGCAGTACGGTTTGTCTTCAAAGGAGGCACTTACATAAAAGAAACCAAAGTACAATGCATAAAAGTTCAGAAACGCGGCAAGCACGAACAACAAATAGGGGAGTTCCCTGAAGGCTTCCCATTCTATCAAGGGCCCTGATTTTCTGGGGGCGAGGTACGGCTTTAGTATGAGATTTGCGGCAACTATCAAGACGAGAGCGACAAAGCCAGCGCAGCGGACGGCCCATGGGAAACCGATTTGCGGAATGAGATATTGGAGAGTGGCAGGGAAAATGATGGAACCCAGCCCAGTGCCCGTAGCAGCCAGCGCCAAAGCAAATGCCTTCTTGGCTTTGAAATACGAACCAACAACAGTCACAGCAGGCATGAATAGTAAGGCTAAGCCGACACCTGTGCATACGCCCTGGGACAAGAAGATTTGCCAATACTCTTTACACAGACTGGTCATGAACGTTCCCAAGATAGCCAGGAAGCTTCCGAAGGCGACAGTCTCTCTGGTATATCCAGCATCGGCAAGACGGCCGGCTGGGCCACAGAACGCGAACGTCAGGAAAGTCTGGCAGGAACCGATCCACGAGATTTGAGACGAAGGCAATCCAAGCGATTCTTCATAATGAAGCTGGTATACACCAAAGGAGGCGGGGTAGCCCCATGCCAAGCAATTGATGAAGACACCAGCAAGAACTTGGGACCAGGCTGTGAAGCCTCCATCTGGTGGGTCGAAGCTTGCAGGATCAAAGACTGGAGGAGGGGCGTTTGTGTTTGAAATCGTGTGATGAAGGTTCTGAGGGTCCTCGGTATTGCCTTCAGAAGGGCATGGTGACGGCTGCCTCCGAGTTGGCGTCTTCTCTACATCCTTGCCAAACATTGTTGATGTGATAAAATGTATGGTATTAAGGTGTTTTCCATTGATATGCTAGAACACGGACTGGCCAGCAGGTATTAGAATTTGAGGTTGCTGGGCATAGTTTCGGGGCTATTCAACTTGGGACGGCTGACGACTATATACGCCCTGATCTCTGCCCCATCCCGATCAGAGTCGATTCCTTAATAATTGAATCAAAGATTTTTCTCGAAGGGCGCAATCCCATGGTTGCTTGCCGATATCGCGCCCCACAAACCCCAGATCGGGTTACTATAGTCGTTGCTCTCAATTTCAGTCAACATCATTTGCTGGTCTATGGTGAATCACGGGGTTACGCTTCTAGGTACCAGCCGCGCCTTTCAATTACACTGGTGTCCGGATTGAACAGAGCCGGATCTACAAGTAGCACGGCATACTGGTAGTATACTACTTCCTATCCATCACGAGGCCATCTAGTTGATTTGACGTTGGTTTGCAATAAAACGGCCTTCACTGAAAGAATTATAAACTTAGTTAAAGTCAAGAATCCAAATAAAAGTCAAGCCCTGAAGTCAAATCCTGCCAAATGAATATAATTTTCAGTATTAGCTAATGGTCCTCTTGAATATCCCACCATATTTGAACCAAAACAAGCGAAAAGTATTGCCGTTATTTCATGTTCAGGGTAAGCTCAGCCGGTCGCCCCACTAACCGCCGACGAACCGATCCCCACCGACCCCGCTCCGATGGCCGGAATTGTTTATTTCCGGAGTCGGAAGTCCGTTGGTCTGACGCGTGGGGCCAATGAAACGTCTCCGAAGAAGTCACGGGTGGCCGCGGCCGGAGCCGGCGCCAAGGGTCAGGATAAACAACAATAATTGATAATCAATGGTAAGGATTCCTGTGCGACCGCTGAAGAGCTTGCGCCCTTCATAAAACAAGCCATTGCTGTTGTCCTGGGGGAATGTTTGAAATATCATGATAGCATAAACTTAGACTTTGACATAATCACATAAACTTATTGTTCTGAAACGGCACAGCCCGCATCTCAAATTTAAGCATATACCGGTGCTTGAGTTGAACACAAAATTGAGCAACTTGAAGCTTGATAATTTTATTCTGTCAACTAACATCAATCAATGCCCTAGTCAGCCGAAACAGAAACAAAAAAACACGACAAGAAATTACCCCGCGCTAGGGATGGAGGGGTAAAAACAGCAATGGCGGTAAAGAAAAATATGATGTAAGGCTGTCACGTGAGGCTAGATTCCATCCAACGGCCAATCGGCTTGTAGATCGTCTCCGCATCGGCAAAAGGTGGAGCGGGAACGGCACGCTAGTTCAGGTTGTGATGGTGGGGTGGCAGCCGATTTGCGGTAGGGGTGCAGAATAGACCACAATATCTCTGTACAGAATATTGTGATATATTAAGTCGGAACATACTTGATGGGGAAAAAAAGTTCGAGGTGGAGGTGTAGTTCTGTAAGGCGTGATGTAGAAGTCTCACTCTAAATGTTGCAATTGACCGTTTTGGGGCGCTTCGGCAAACGATACCGAAGTTTCGGGCTTGCGTTGTCGCGAAACGGCCTCAAAACACAAGCCTTGGTCAATATCAACAATCAATATTGAAATATGCCCCAAAACATTGGTAAAGCGGTCGCGCAATACCAGAATGCATGGCCTATCATTTTGAAGACGTTACATTAGCAGCGCATTGCGGTAGCTCGTGTCGCACACTTTCAAATTCACGCGCACTGATGAACCTGATTAATCTCAGGCATGTTGTATGAAGTTGGTTGCGTACAACAAGATATAGAAAAGTCGCTAGAAAACAGAATAACATATCGGAAACATTTGGCCTTTTGCCACATTAACCCGTTCCTTTGCGCGGCCGGTGTGGCATCAAGACAGCATCCCTTTTTAGTCATGCATCTCGATCAGAATGCGCCTCAAGCACGCACACGATAAACATTCCGTATACCGTTCCTGTCCTTCCTTCTAAACCTTGGGAGATTTTCCAAGCACCATGCCCCTTGCTCCCCCACCGTATCACACCCTTTTTGAGCGGTTGCCATATGGAACTGCCGCCCACAAGTCCATCGTGGTTCAGAAGCGGTTGACCGTCAACCTCGTCGAGCCTCGAGGCAACCAAAATAATGTTGAATCGGAGGAAAAAGATTTTTTGTTAAAAAAGACACTCGAAACTCCCACATCTTGCCTCAAAACGCCGTATAAGGAGTGTAATGGCCGAACGGCCGTCGTTATTACATCCTCCTGAGAATCATCATGAGTGCTGCTCTCTCGCCTGCAAGCTAGAAGAACCAGGGAAAACATAAAAAGAAAACATTTGAGTGCATGGCCCATTTGTTGGTAAACCGTTGGGACCCACTGGGAGATTTGTACAAGTCATTCATGCCACATCGACAAAGATGACAAGTAAGCCGACAACAACGCCAGTAAAACTGCTGTGTCAAAGCTCAAAGACCAGTATATACGACAATATTGAAAACTTTCAGGCAGTGTGATTGAACCGAGGCGCTTATCGCTTGCGCTTCTTGGACTTATCTATTGTCATGGCAGCAGCCGCGATGGGCGCAGCGGGTAATAGCGCAGGCTGGGCAACGGCGGTGACCTCATCCTTCTTGATGGGCACTCCCATGTGACGACCGTATCGACCCTTTCGGCCGTTGCCCTCATCCTCACTAATGCACTGGTCTGCCGACAGGCCAGCATCACGACAGCGTCCGCAAGGCCTTTGGCGATCACAGCCTTTCTTGCTCTTTCTGCAGCGTTGGCAGCGAGGTTTGGTGGAAAGATCAGGCTGGTCATCCTCGCCAGGCGCAAGTGGAGTCTGTCCGGTAGACGCAACGGATTGCTTTCGCGAAGGGGGCATAGAAGCTGGGGACATTGGGCCACTTGGGACAGGGGGGAGCTTCTTTCCCTTGACGCCATTAGAGGGACGGGCGGTCTTGGAGGCCTTGGCCGATGGTGCTTTAGAAACAGAGGCAGATGCCTTAGGTTTAGCAGAGGCTTTCTGAGTCTTGCCAGGCTTGCTCTTGCCATTAGAGAGCAGAGACTCGTCAGCACCATCCTCATAGTCGGCATCGTCTCCACTAACTTCGGCGCTTTCAGGGGGTGGCATGAAGTGTGACTCGGTAGTCTGATAGACATTGCCGACAGTGCTGGAAATATCTAGCTTCTGGCGTCGGGCAGGAGGCAATTCGGTCTCACTCTCGCTTTCGTCATCACTAGTAGCGCCAGTAGAGGAAGCAGCATCGGCTCTGCCGCTAAATGTATCATCGAGGGTAGAAGCAGAGGTTCGGCCGTGGGAGATGTTGGACATGTCGCCAAGTCGCATCAGCTGGATAGCAACGTCCTTGTCCTCTTCAGATACACAACTGCCAATAGTTGGGTCGGGAGTAGGAAGGATTCCCATGGCGCTACTGGTATATCCGCCACTGTTTCGGTTGCGGCGATCGGGTCCCGGGGTTGAGTAGAGATTGGGATGCGTGATGCCATGTGAATAACCTTGGGGCGACTGCATAGGACGAGGGTTTATGAAGGGATTTTGATGAGGCTGCACGAATGGCATTGCGGGGCGATGAGGCTCAGCTCGGCGAGCAGGAGATACTGAAGGATTCGATGTCGCCGCCGGCATCTGGGGCGGTGCGAACAATGGAAGTTCCTGTAGCCCGACGTTGTCAGTCTCTCTGAGCCCGCCTTGTCAAAATGGCGGTCTCCACTTACCGAGCTTTCGAACTTGGCCCTCTTACGACGGCCACCTTCAACAATGTTCTCAACACTGATATCAGTAGTAGGTAGTTGGTCCTTGTTCTTTCCAGATGTCGAGTCATGCTCATCATTGCTGCTATAGCCGTTTATACTATCGCTGTAGAGTTCGGTATGACTCCGAGAGGCAGAAGCTCGGGTCTTGGAGGAGCGAGAACGACCCTTCTTCCCATTTGTGCTGGCAGAAGCACTTCTTCGGCCACGAGCAGTGTTGGGGGACGGGCTTCGTCTCCGTGATGTCCGAGAGCTGGGCCTGGACAACTCCTGGGGAAAGCGCTGAGCCTGAGTGGCAGTATAGCCATTGTCGCTGTAGTAAGGGTGGGTGGCAGCGGATGAGTTATGGTAAGGATGGGGAGAATACGCAGTTGCATTCGCCGGAGGTTCCTCTATAACCCTGACGTATACTACCATATTGTTTCGAAAGTTCTCATACCGGGCAATAAGAGTGTTCCCAAGATCATCTTCGAAACTGACTCCCTTTGACCCGGTCGGACCCGAGTACAAACCATAAAAGTTCTTCACGGTAGTGACAATAGAGTCCGTTGTGTCGTGAGGGTATATTTGCACTCGCATTGGCAAGCGCGCGCGGCAATGGGGGGATTCGAGAAACAATAGCTCAAATGCGACGTTCTTAGGCGTTGATGTCTGTTGAGGTGACACACTGCCGCCATTTGAGGACGCTCCAGAAGGAACGATAGCGGTGTTGAGAGGCAACATTGAGGCCATTGTGAAGCTGAGAGGGTGTTTATTGTGTCGATAGAGATGGACGTTGGAGAATTGATGGGTGTCGTTGGGTTGATGGGTCTCAAAGTGGTGTTTGCGGGCTTTGCCTGGGATTGACTGGGCCCGGCCCTGTTCACGACAAGATCGCTCAACAGTACGCTCAATACTATATGCGACGGTCAAGGACCAGAAAAGCAGACAAGACAAGATGTGTAAAAAGCGATGTCAAAATGTAGATAAAGAATCAAGGGATAATCAACATCCACGCGGTAGGCGGTAAGCGCCGAGTCTTGTGTGTGTCTGTGTGGTCTCAGGGCTTTGGACTTGCGGTGCGTATGACGACGATGAATGGTGGAGGATTTTCGTTAGAACGACAGCGACGGTAAAAAGATCGATATGCTGTTTTTTCCCGAAGCCTGTTAGCAACTGAGGAACGGCTGGATGGTCTGAGGATCTCCCAAGTAGATGATGAAGAGAGCCCCTCGAGTAGAGGATGGGTAGCTTGAGGGTCGGGGCAGTCTGGCGCTTCTTGGGACGGGGACAACGGATGAAGCAGAGAGGACATGAACTTGGGGACTCAGGATGGAAGAGGAGAGAGTCGGGGCCTCGAGATTGGGTCTCGATGGGGATCGCGCATAATAACACAGGCGATGGGACTTACCAGAGAGGTCTTGATCCGTGTTGGGATGGTTGTGGCGGCGTTGAAGAGTCGGCAAGAGGATGTGCATGAGGAAAAGAGGAGCCAGACCAGACGAGAGAAGAGAGGTTGTTGAATTTGAATGGAGCTGGGCTCACTAACACGAGAACACTCCATTTAGGGGGGTTAAGCGTTAAGAACTCCCGAAGGAGGCCTGGAAATTAGGCCAGCAGACCACTAAAGACGGCCCCGGCCAGCGTGCGACAACCTGTAATTACAGCGGCTGGGCAAGAAGTTAGGGATGGGGAAACATGGCTGATGCTGAAATTGAGCCAGGGCTGGTTGGATGGCTTGCCCTGAGGGGAGGGGACTCATTGCCCAGGACCCATCCATTGTGGTTCGTCGCCGATGAACCCGAGCATCTATTCAAGGAACTGCCATGACGTGCCTCCAATCTCGGTATTATTGTGGCAGATACCGTGAAAAGGTAGCTCGATGCTTAGAATAGGCACTGTAGATTTGCTTTTGGTTTCTATGTTGTGACTGACTTCAGGGGAAAAGAGGGCGCATTCTCGACTCCTCCCGCGCGGACGAACCTAGAAAAGCGGATGCGGCGGTGCAGATGCGCAGCGCAAACTGATCAGTATCTTTTTGCGCGCACGTCGCATACACTACAGTTTCGATTCGTTGAGCATTCTCGAGTCGCTCGATAAAATGATTACAATATAAACTATTCATCTGAATCTCGTCTGCGACTCCTCACAGGCTTTGAAACCTGTGCGGGCCAGTCATCAGAGTAGGTTGCAAGGGCCTGGGCAGCCATATGTCGATCCCCCAGCAGCAAAGCAAGGCGCATGTTCGGGTCTTTATACGGTGGTGATGAGCCTTCGCAAAGGCCATATCGTGTTTAGACTCGTCGCAAGCCACAAATCTGGGCCATATGGTTCATGGACAGGCAGGTGAGCAAAGCAAAAGTAATGCGCCAGTCTAGATTCCCGTTATTGAAGCTGTGTAGAACCTGTCGCTTTCAGTTGAATATTGGCTCCATATCGCCGAGCACCATGAGGGACTGACAGTGCATGCATGGGTTGCCCATTTCAGCGGATCCTAGGAACCTAAGATTGTTGGCTTCCTTTCCCTCCCGAAACTCTCACTCGAGCGCTGGCTATTGCTACCAAGTATGGTCTCATCGGCCACTCACGATCCATCAACTGCTAGCTACATATCCATCGCTCCAAGAAGCGACCCAAGTTAGGCTAGACACTGGCCGTTGGCGACCAACAACTGTGACCGTACTCCCAATGGAAAAGAATCCTCAAGCCCAGCCCCTCCTGATCCAGTGTCTCTGACACTTGTCGGTGGCCTCGTGTGAGTCTGTGACTGTTGACGACCCTCACCTCCAATCCAAATGTGGTGTGGTTAGTCTAAGAAGAGGAGACAACGAACAACAACCACTGCAGTGGTTCCCGCTAGCTTCTGCTGATAATGTATGTACTGTACATAGTCCATACCATAGAACATGCTCAGCGACATCGCTTGTTGAGCTGCGACCGCGCACACACACGCACACTTTACCTGCGAATTCATCCTCCGCGCTCCAATGGGAGCGTGCGAAGCTTGTCCAGGGTTCAATGCGACCTCAATCAGGGCTTGTTACAGATGTTAGACTCTGGCGCAAAGTTGTCTGTCATGATACAATTGATCTCTCTGGATACAGGGCTAGCAATGAAGACCCCATGGTCTGAAGATTCAGTCATAACTTTCGTAATAGTATAAGGGATGCTGAGAAGAACCTTCTTGAGGTCGACACGCTGAGAAAGCGGAGAGCTCTCGATTCAACGGCTCAGAGATGTCTGAGTTGGTGGTTGCAACAGATCATCAGCAGCCAATCGCACTGATTCTCATGGTCGACCAAGCTGGGGACCTGTCTAGGCTGATCATGTGTCGAAATAAGCTTGGCACACGGTAAGCATCAGAAACGGTCTGTGTTAACGAGGAGTTTTTGAGAGCTTCAAAGGGGATTATAGGCCGTCTTGGGATATGTTAACTCCTTCACTGTATGGATAAGTTTTCAGAAGTAATATTGAGGTATCGCCGTACCCTTGAAGATGCAACATGAGAGACACCCCTTTGTGGCGATACTGATTATGACACCTTGATGTTCCAGAGTTTTTTTTGGAACCACTATCGAAAACACTTACCCGACGGGTTTCTCATGATATGGACAGCAAAGTATTTGATGCGCTTCAATCCCACATAATTAAGAAACAACGCCATACAGGGCCGTCTGATGCGCAAATCAGCGACCAAGGAGTGAGGTTGTGCCAGTTCATCATCGACTTGTGCTTCCATTACGGCCATTGACCACTCCGAGGGATGATGCGCTTAGCTTGCGAATGATTCTGAGACAAAAGAAATCCAAGCGTCAAGAGCCCAGCCAGCCTCTGTGTGCCAGGCGCATGCCTCCAAAGTTCCAAAGCGCTCGAATTAGAAGCACAAAAGCCGTTCCTGTTGAATGAAGATGATGCTGAAGAATGGAAATGCGCCTGTTCGGAACCTCAGTCAATTGCGCTGGCTGGCACTACATTCATCCTCGTCCCCCACCAACAGGAACAGCCAATTGTCCGTGTCATGATAACCCTCATTGGGCGCCTGGGCCCGGTCGATCAATTTCCCTTCTCTGGGGTTTCATCTTGGACCGTTCAGGCAGCGGTCGCAGCGATTAGCTTGCGGCGTACGAGGGACGAGAAAGATGGTGGAATGGCATCTTGGATTGGACCTTGGCCACACGTTCGGTTTGTTTTGTTTCAGCATGAGGCCAGAGCACGCGTGAACGTGAATGTGAGTGAACGTGGAGGTAGCTATGGATGTGGATGATGGTGCCATGGATCCGTTGTGATGGCGGCACCCCAACTGATCTCTTTTCTGGTCCGACAGAGACTCAATTGTCTCAATCCGACCTCAAGTATGCCGTTTATTATCCTCTCTCAGTACGTCTAATTTATTCAACTGTATATCAGATTCGTGGACCCTTGGAACGACGACAGTTCAAATGGTATACCACCAACCAGACCATGCATACTGAGGGCCCCTTGAGGACCCGTGACTGACTAGTCCGGAGCATGCATATCCTGGACAAGCCAAGCAGACCCTTGCCACAAGTTGCGATCCAGAGATGCGCAATGCGCTGCACGATATCTTTTCGCATTGCCTCTTGTATAGTAGATTTCATAACAGAAGCTTCTAACCACCCTGATTAAAACGCCGCAGTAAATGCGCCATCCAAAACTAAAGCGCACATCCCATATCTCATCTCTGTGTCGCACAGCGTTACATTGAGAGCAAAGCATGCGATGCGCCCATCGTCCATCAAGCATGACGCTTGCGCGCACGCTGTCACCGCCCCGCCCTGGATTATCCACGTTTGGATGCGCTGGCGCAAAATTTAGGTGATCGTGGTCAACAACATCAAAAAAACAGATGCGACAAGGAAAGGCTCCATCGGCCGAATCAGCGTTCGTCGCAGCCCAGCCTGGAGTTATGAGACGAGCCTGGGCCGTGGTCACCTCATCTCCAGATGTCTCTCGGATTTGTCTTCCACGAGACTCCAAGGCTCCGCCATCGGTTTCTAGGCTGGGACTATCTGTGACAAGCGAGATAGGTAGATAATATCGTCGATATCGAGGTGACAGGGCCTATCCGATTTGCTCTTGCGATTAGGTCCAGCAGCAGCATGTCAGGGCGCTGCGCACAAAAGATACGGTGTGTGTATCTGTTACCTACAACCCTTGTTCGTCTGACTGTGCTGTCTATTTTGTCTGTCAAGAAATGTAACGAGATTCGGCATTTATCCTTACATTTGTGCACTTTTTGCTCTGGCAGAAACTTATCTGCATTTACTATGTAGATCGAACTGTGCCTAATACGATGTATTGCCTCACACGGTTCACTCCTTATCACCACCCACCCAATTCGTTTGTTTGGCATGTGGCGTCGCTAGATTCCCGTTCCGTACTTGGACCTTTGCTTTTGTTTCTCATATCCATGTGCCCAACGGATTAGCTGCTATTCGCACTCGTTGAGTTCCACTCGAATTCCGTGGCACAAAGTGGCACAGTCTGATGCCAAAAGGTTGCGCAGAGTCGATGCGACTGCGTCGCGACTAGGTAGCTTGGAGCTCAGTATATAGAAGTAAATTGAATATAGCAGCAGGAGAAAAGTCGGGAATATTTCAAATAGTTACGCCGTGATCAGGACGGTATTTGGAGACAAGTCACTGTGATGGTATAGGGTTATTTGCGATTAACGGCGCAATTTCATGAGCTTTTACACTTTTGTGAGTCCAGCCGTTTTGTGTTTCGTCACT